GATACAGGACTGAAAAAGAGACAGCCCTCTTCCTCCAAGGTGCAGAAAAACACATCTTAAAGTGACATTACAAGGTTAGAAAAAATACAGACCAGACTGCAATCATTTTAACCACAACATTCATGACAGGTAGTCCAGGAGCCTTCCAAGTCTTCCTAAAATGTGCTCATCCAGGATCCAACTGGATGGCTTCTGTGCCATTTGCTTCCACCCTGCTGGCACTCCCAGCCTGCAGCAGTGGAGCAGCAGCCAGCGTGCAGCCAGCAGTGTGCTGCAGGGGGGCTGGGGCCTATAACTGCCGAGCCCGAGGCTGTTGCTGCAGAGGAGCCCACGGAGGGTCTTGGGCTGCACTCCTCATCCTGGCGCTGGTTGTGTGTAGCGCTGCACAGAGCAGAGCAAAACAGCCGACAGAATGAAACAGGCACCCAGAAGGAAACGGCTGGTGTGAAATACAACATTCTGCTCAGCCTGGAACAAAAGTCATTTTAACTAATTTGATTCGAATAATTTTTCTTTCTTTCAACAAAAAAGAAAAAGAAACACAATGATCACTTGTAAGCTGAACACAGATGAAGTGTTTTTACTCAGGGGAAATTTCATCCTCTTTTCCCCATATCATTTGACCAATCTAAGCATGCGTTAATGACCTTCCTATCTGCATTACAAGTATTCACCTGGCTCAGCTTGCAGAGCTCCTATTTTCATTAAGTACCACAGAAAAATAGATGGAATATTCTAAAGTGCAAATTATTTTTGCTTTTGGGAAACAGAAGCGGCAAACTGAAATCAAATGGACACTGAATAGTTTTAATGAAGCCCCGTAGTCCAGCGAAGTACAGCAGGTTCAGGTGAAATGCTTCACTGGACCACTTTGTGACGTTTTAATGATTGTTCATTATGAAAACATTTTTGAAACTCAGTTTAGATGTAGTGGGGGAGGTGTGTGAACATTTCTGTTCAGATCACTGGAAGTAAAGCAAAGTGCAGTGAATGTTTCTGCGTGCTGGCCTCTATATTTGGATGCTCCTCTGGGTGACAAGTATGCAACTCCATTAATAACATCTGCCATGCACTGAGAGATAAAAGAATCTCTTGCCTAAGGAGCAATGCCAGGGGGTCAGTGTCCCAGTCTTCTAATGTTACAGACTAAACATTACACAAGAAAGATGAGATTTGCATAGTGCTGATCAATTTGAAATTTACAGTAAGCAGAATTGCTTTTTGATTGCATTTCATAGTGCAGCAGCAGCAAAGTCGTTAGTTATTCGGGTCAGCTCTCACACCAGCAATTGCACCTCTGCAGAGAAGGCTTGGGATACAATCACACTTTCAGCCAAGAGATGAAAACCCAGTTATTTTTGATACATTTAAAGCCACCTGAACATTGAACATTGCAAAAGCAGCCAGAGAGGAGAAAGCTTTTAAGGTTTGTTTGGCTTCTGCTTGAGAAAACTCAGTCTGAGGAGGGCAGAGGTCAAGGGATGGGACGCAGAGGTTGGAAACAGGCGGTCAGATCTCTGGGGAGGGGCTGGAAACAAGAAGTGGGACAGCAAAGGGTGCTTCAGGTCAGCAAGGAAGTGTGCAGTGATGTCCTGCATCTCAGCACTGCTGCAGGACTGCTTGGGGCAGGAGCACACAGGGAAGTGTTCCGAGAGCCCAGGAGGAGCCAGGAGGGCTGCACTGTGCCTGGGGGAGCAGGCAGAGAGCGCTGCAGGGCGCAGCACAGGGGCAGCTGCTGTGTCACTCTGCTGTTGTGGTGCTCAGGTTCCAACAGGGTTGGTTTTTTTGCATGCTTAAGGATAGCTATGTGCATGCAAATGTGGCTGCACTTTTTAGATGCTTAATTTAAGGTGCAACCAGAAATAGACTTGGATTCTGGCAGTGCTTATGATTGGATTCTGACCCCAAGCCTCCCTGCACACCTGTACATGAGCAGAGATGCACAAGAGTTGGTGCATAACCCGCCATGCTGCTTTGTAAGCAGATGTGAAAGAGAAAGCAGAGCACGTGTGGAAGAGGGAGAGAGTTATCTGAGAAATATACCACCAGGTATGCATTAAATAATATTAAATTAAATAATCACTGGTATTAGGTTAAAAATTCCTCAGCTTCCAAGTGCAGAGCCGTTCTGCAGGCAAGGTTACTGCAGCTGCCCACTGAGCCAACCATCTGGTGACAGTCCTTGCAAATCTGAAAGGCCAGCACCTAGCAGAGAACACAGTGAGCCTTACAGGTCCAAGGCTTTCCACCGCTGTTAGGGGCACTTTCTGCAGGTAGGATCTAGTCCAGCAGTGAGCAAAAGGAACAGAAACGCTTCGGCTGTCCTCAGGGGCACAGTGTAGGATGGCCAGCACATGGCCAGCACAGTGTGCGGCTTCACAGAGTTTTCAGCCCAATCAGTGTCCCCCAGCATATTTCACACTACAAACCTGAGGCACGTGGGAGCCAATGCCAGCATCTCTAACAGCACAAAGAACTGCTTCCAAAACTGGGGTAACACCACAGCAAGGGTCACTCCGAGGGTGACAGCCACCTCCACTGCATCCTATGCAGGGAGAAAGAAACTTACAAAAAAACCCACTTCTGTTTCTGAAAGACATGCCCAGATTTAGCTCCCCCACGGTAACCACGTTGTAATGCACTGCGAGAGAAATAATGGGGAGGCACTTCCAGCCAGCCCCTCCAGATTTAAGAAAATAATTGCCCAAACCTCATAAATACTAATTATTTCAATTGATGAATCATTTTGACTCATTCTGGGTTTCAGGTAATATTTAATAGTGCCATGCAGTGAAGTAATTGTGGAATTAGAATTCATTTGTCACTCACGTATGTTCTTATTTTAATTAGATCAAGTTAAAACTATCTTTCTTTTCTAGAAGGATAATTTAAATGACATTCAACTTACTCCTCATTTCACCAAGAATAATCTCCTAACATTCAAAGACTGTAATCAAACTTACTTTGTTCCCCATGCTCTTTCAGACAAAAACAAACACCAGACGTACTGTCCCTCTCCCCAGGTGTGCAAAGCTTTGTTCTTTCAGCTCAAAAACACATCACTTGAGTAACCTTTTACATTGAACTTAGGTCTCTATTTCGGAGTGAAAATTATGATTCTGAGTCCAGTCCAAACATGGAAAACAAAGAATTTGAGACTGAAAAGAAAAATGTATGAGACCATGAAGAATGCGCTTCTGTCTGCAGGGAATTTTGCAAAATCATTGTCATGATCTGAAATAATTTGGTGGTGGGAAATGAAACAGTAGTTACAAGGAAATTCAGCTTTTGTGCCAAAAGTCTGCCATGAGTGGTCCGTACGCCCACAGATGTCCATGCACTTGGTCTGCGAAACACTGCACAACCCAAAAGCTGCTCCTGCTTCCCGATGAGATGTGCAGGAAGGGCCCCAGGCACAGGCTGAAGAGCTGCTCCATCTGCCCCCTGCTTCCCCTCCTCTGTCCCAAAAAGCCAGCGCTGTCCCTGAGGAAAGGAGTGGGCTTCAGAGCCTGGCAGAGCTGCATCTGCAGGCAGACCAAAAGGGAGCAAAAGGCAAAACAGGATGCAACAGCAAAACCAAACCAAGGACTGTCATTTGTGGTTTTCTTTAAGTGAAACACTAATTGGGATCTAAGGAGGGTCCTTCAAAGTAGCAAAGGTTTTACTGTGGAAGTTAGGATACAGCTGAAGCAGGTGAAGTCAATTCCTTTCATTGGGTGAGAAGGAAACCTGATGTGTTATTTCTGGCAATGCTGAGGTCTAAATCTGACCTGGCAGCGAGAAGAATGGAAGGTGAGGGTCCTGCTGAGACATGGGGTTGGAGTGATTGGTCCTTGGGTAAGAGAGAAGGGCTGAAAGGGAAAAAAATGAAGAAAAAGGAATAGGGCTCAAGATTGATGAGGTGGGCAGTGGCTCCTGTTTATACATCTGGGGCCTCCTTGACAGCAGAAAAATAAGTTAAACCGAAAAATAGAAATATAATCTGCATTCACTTCCCAACTTGTCAAAAGCCTTCATGTAAAGCGGCTGCACTCAGCTGGACAAAGGGGCTCCACTGCCGGACCCCAACCAATAAATCTGCGTGGTTTCCTGTTATGAGAAGCAGACAGAGATAGGACTGGGGATGGGCAGAGCTGTCTGCACCAGGGAAGAGCCTGTGCTTTCATTTCAGTCTCAAACCCACCCTCTCCGAGGTTAGGAAAAGTTCAGTTCACTTTGGAGATTTTTTAACAGTATTTCTCATTTTTGCATGTTCCTGTGGGAGCTGGAAATACATGGGACAGAGTGGGTTTTTTTTTTCCTGCTGGCAACAAGCAGCCCTGAAAGTGTCACACATGCAAGTTTGCTTTGGTGAGATTTCCAATTCAAGGGGGTGATCTTGCAGTCTGTCCAGATGGGAATAACGCAGTGACCTTTTTAATGGTTTTGCTGTTTCTGGGGTAAGGATTTCTTGGTGTAACTCTACAAGTGGTTTCTATCCACCACTTCTTCCTTGCCTTCACCCAGTGCATGGCACACAGAAAAGGTAAGCAGTGTTTTCGGATCAAAAGAAGTTTTTTGCAGTGACCCTGGGGAGAACCTTGCACAATGGTCGTGATTCTGCAGAGCAGCAGCTGCTTGATAAGGTTCCTCTCGGGGGGTGACATCAGAAGTCAAGCACTGTGCTACCAGCGGTACCTGCACCAGCAGCCTGATCCTGCAGTCCCCAAGCAATAGATGTTTCATGGCATAACAGTTCCAGTAGCATAACAGCCACAACAGCACTTGAAAGCAATTCAGGAGAACATGGTGTGATGTGTCTCTGAAACACCAAAACTAGTGCCTGTGTTCCTCTGTGTGTTTAATACTTTCATATTGCTGGTAATTGCTCTACAACTTCATCAGCATCAATAAACAATCACTGTTAGTGAGGGGCTGCCAATCCTTTGATGGAAACAAGAACACTGCTGCAGATGTAAACTTGCTCTTTTGTACTTATTTTGTTGTTGTTTTTTCTTTAGAGAGACCCAAAATCTATGAAAAGGAAACAGATTTCGATAAGATCGAGCGGGTGGAATTAAGAAGCAAGCACAAAATCCAGTGCACTGTAAGCGGGAATCCTGACCCGAAGGTTGAGTGGAAGTGGCAGCCCTGCAGCCTCACAGACACACTGTAAGTGCACGTGGCAGCTCTCGCTGTGGGGAACGCACTGCTGGGCTGCTGGCTCCACATCGCTTCTTCTTCCCAGTACATCTTGTTTCTTTTAATTAGCAATCACAAGTAGTGATTCCCCACAGATTTCCCCAACTTGTTGTTTATCATCTTTTTGGAATCACAAGCACCTTCTAGATTATCAGAGTTGTGTCAAATAAGCTTAAAATGACGACCAGTCAGACTGGGTATTTCTTTATCTCATCTACCAACTTTCCTCTGGCTTACCAATGTATTTTCTTATCCCTCTTGGATGCAGCCTCTATGGTTAGGGCACAAGATGCCTTTTGAGATTTACCTTCTACAAGTAGACGCTTCCTTTGTTCCTATCGCTGTACAAACAGAGTGATCCATGAGGCAGGGCCTGGGCTCAGATCTGAATGGCAGTGTTCCCCTGGCAGTTTTGGGGATGTGGTGGAGTCACCTGTAACTACTCTGGCTGCACTTCAGCTATACTCTGGTGATGAGGATGAAGGCAGCTTTTACATCCATAAAAAGAAGAAAGTAATTCTAGGATACCAAAGAGAAAACTGCTGGATGGCTCCTTATTTTCTCAGTTTCGGTGTTTTTCCAAATGCTGCAATTGAAGGGAAAAGTGACAAACAGCCACTGCTGTCCCAGGTTATGTACCACAGCCTGGCAGCAATGCTGGATGCTCTGCCCCAGGCTGAGTCTGAGAAGTGACCCACTATCCCTGCATGAGGAAAGCAGCCCCTCACCTTGCTTGGCCAGGGAATCACAAGGCAGTGATCTATAGGCTTAGGCAGGGCTGCTGGCATCTCAGGTAAGCAGAAGGCACACAGGCTGCTGCTTTGGGGGTATTCAAGCTGGAGCAGGGTGGAAATACCATAAAGAAATACTATGCAGTCATAAGAAAGCCACAGAGATTACATGAAATCTTTTCTAGACTTTTCTGTTGAGGGAGAGAAAATTGGTCATGGATGCTGAATAAAGTCAGTTCTGAATGAGTGACTTGGTGGCAAAAGACCTCGCATAACCCTTGTTCCAGCTCCCTGACTCTCTGATCTTATCAATTCAAACACAATTGCAGAGTGGCGTCCACCTCTCCTGGCCTCTGGGGTAGCCTTATCTTCTTCCAGCAGAAGCTGTAGGAGGATTCCTGTGGGAAATGACACAGACCCCACTTCCTTCTGTTGTCTCACTTCCTCTCTCTCCCTCTTTCTCTCCCCCCTCCTCACTGGTGTACTTTGAATCCCTGAACTCTATCATTGTTCCTTATAGCTGTGATGTGATTTGCTTCCTTTGAGTTTTTTCCCTTCATCCTCAAGATAGAAAAGTGCCTTGCAGGAAGTCATCCAAGGCAGCTTCTAATGAGGCTGTTTTGAAAGCTATAAACCCTCCCTTGACCCAGGGTGTTAATCATATGTCTTGCACTGGTTTGGCAAAGGCATGGCTGATTCACATGTTAGCTTTCTGCAGTAGTGGCATAGTGGCCCTTGGTCATCATCTGTAGAAGTCTGAGTGCTCCCAAACCTTTGTGCTGCTAAGCACAAAAAGCCCCATGCATCTGCTCATTTATTAGAGTACTGTAGTTAAAGACATTAGAAAAGCTCTTTACCATGGATGGTGCAGATGTACACCAGCACAACGTGTGCTACCTACGCATTTTTAATTTTGAAATGCATTGCAAGTGCTCAAAACAGAATGTAAATAGCCATGGCTGCATGGAGCTGGACTCTTATAAGCCAGATTAAACTCACATGATTCAATTAGTTGGCCAGTATTTGCTGGTTTCAGTCTTCAGAAAGTCTGGGGGGGGTTCCTGGCTGCTCACGTGCTGATCTTTGTTCATCTTTGTCAAGTTGAGTTCTAAGTAGTAATTTTGAAATGCTGTGATGAAGGAATACAGCAGCTTTCAGAGGAGGTAATGATGTTTATCAGCAACAGTTTTTAGAAGTTTTTTTAAGACCTAACCCTACTTCTGAAGAATGACATTCTCCCTCTTTACTAACACCTCCTTGCATTATCGGCAGTAACTTAGGTTTCTGAATGCCACTTTTGCTTTTCTATTTCCAGATGCAACCCTACAGGACAAAAAATTGTGGTTGAGGAGAACATGTTCATAGGCAACAAGATCAAGAGCATTGAAAACATAACCATGAAGCACGGGGACAAAAGAAAGGTTTGTGTCTGATGCAATCTGAGTGCGATCCCTTGGAATAGCAGGGAGCTTTATGGAGGGATGCTGCAATCACACACAGCATTCTGCCCACGGTTCCCAAGCTGCTGCTAGTTGTTTGCATGCTTAGAATTCCACAGCCCTGGGATCATTTTTAGCTCTCTGCTGTTTATAAATGCTGGGATTCTGACAATGATGTCACTTACCCCATTTAAAACGCTCCAAAGAATTTTGGGTCAAAAACCTCTGTCTCCTTCAGTACTGAGGAAGTCTAAGAGCAGTTCAGAGCAAGAGGGGTCCTGTGAAGCACACACAGCTGACAGGATGCCAGGTTGATTAGAATGCTTAGCACTTGGAGAGTACTTTGTACTGCCAGCCTTGCCCACTCTTCCAGCAGCAGGAGCTAAGCAGCTGCATGATTCAAGAGGCCAGCCATGGCCAGGGGTAGCTGCCCTGATGGTGAGTGTCAGGGTGCCTGTAGCACCTTCCTGCCTCAACTTGATGCATGGGCACTTCCTCACCCACTGGGGTCCCCAGCCATGCTGCTGAGTGAGAAGGGCAGGAACATCTCCTTCCTTCTGCACACCCCTGCCCACTTCACTTTCAAGCAGACAGTACTGGGGCACGCTTCTCAAATGAGATGCAAAGATCTCAGCAATTAATCTGCTAAATGCCTCCCAGGCACCTGCAATGCTACCGAGTGATACTGGTTACGCATGGCCATGCTGATCCCTGAGAAGCTGCCAAAGCTGGTCTGCTCTAGATTCACAGACAGACAGTTGGCTACCCTTGGAGAAGATGCTGGGCTCTGGCTCTGTTGTTTTACCCTTGTTGCACTTGCACAAGTCTGTGGCTGTAAGAGCAGTTTTGCAGCTGCACGTGTTCCAAGGTGGCTGACTCAGATCAATTAGTGCTCAAAACTGCAGTGTGCTGAATGCTGCAGCTCAGATCCTGGGGTACCTTTAACCATATGATAATTCTTGGGCTATTTGCATGCTTAAAGTTAAGTGTGAAGCTAAAGTGCTTTTCTGGATTGGGTCCAGACTAAATCAGCATCTGGCAGAATCCGTGCCTCAGTCATCTGCTCTTTCTCATGGAGACTTTCCAGTTCTAAACCTAATCTAAAACAGAGCTCTGAAGCATAGAAGTTGGGCTGGGATGGAGAAAATCAGTGTTCACAGTTCGCTCTTGAGTTTTTGCATTGTTGGAAAATACTGGATTTATTTAGATAGCATAGTGTCCCATAAGTTCTGTCTTTAATGTACCCTCTAAGAATTTTAGATCTTAGGTTAAAGCAACTATTTACAGAGCTCTCATTGCAAAAATGGGAAGTCAATGACATGTACCTCCACACTTCCCTCCTTTTCTAAGTCTTCCATTAGCAGCAAGGCATGACAAGAGTTTTGTGGCTTTTGTGGCTACTGTTTCTGTCCATATATACAGCCTGTCAAAGTACATGATCAGGTGTCCAAGAACTCACTTTACATCTGATGATCAGTCTTTATTTATGTTAGTTCCCATATGAAAGTTAAGACTTTCACTACTACTGTGACTTAAAAACTATCTGCTGGCTGCTGGATTGACCCACGTGCTGGGATAAGTGAGACACCCAATGACACAAAAGTAAAAACACTTTTGCTTTGCTATGCTTATGTATATGTACACTCCTTCCATTTCTTCTCTTCCCTGCTTTGCTGAGGCAAGCATTTTGTGACATTTTTGTTTGATCACGGACTTAATCTGGCTGCAGTCCCTGTGAATGAGGCGCTTCAGTAGTTCTACAGAGCTCCTGGATCTATGGGGCTCAATGCATTCCTGCTCCTTGCTGGTTGCTGGTCAGGGACATCTGAGCTCTCCCCTACCACCTGAGTGCCACACAGAGCCCAGGCTGCAACTCACAGCACTGCTCAGCCATCCCTGCCCCTTCCTTAGGCTCCAGGCAGACTGAAGTATTCATTTGTTAGACATCTTCAAAAGCTCGGCCCACACTCTTCAACTTAAGCTTTTACATATTTCATTATTAAAGTTTCCTAAAAATACTTTTTTGAAAGTTACATAATTTTACAGCTCATAATATATTCATTATTTTCATCTCCTGCTGATCCACTGGTTGAAAACACATTCTGAGGCGTTTCCTTATAATTTTTATGTCCTTATTAAGATTTATTCAAAGTAATAAAACTGGACTTCATGAATCTCAAATTTCAGCACTCTGCCTCCCTGCCTGCATTAACAGACAATTCCCCTCCTTCCCCCTTACTGAAGTCCAAGGCTATCTGTGTTAGGTGGAGCCTGTAGATAATAGACTATAATTCAAAAAAGAAAGCGATGAAATCCTATAGCCTTCAGACTTTTCCTTGTTTTTTATCAGTCATTAATTCAACCAGAAATGAAATAGACAGGAAACAACCCAATCCATTCCCACCATGTCCTCACAGGTAATTCATCTGCATTGACTAGCCACATGAAATAATAAAGACATTGCAGTCTGACAGAGCATGGCTTTTATTGACTGTGCTATGAAGCTGGGATTAGCTGAGATTGGTTATTTTTCCTGTGTGATTTGAGGCTGTCCTATGACGGCCCTCGGAGCAGAAGGTGGAATTTACCCAGTCTCTTTGATATTATCTGTTGCTCTGCGTCCTGCTGTTCACTCTCAAAGAACTTTAGCAATACATGTTTGTTTGTTCAGTGACATTTGAAAAAATGCAGTAACTTTTCAGAGCTGCCAGGAATATGGGAAGAAGCCCCCAGAAATTCCCAGATCCAAAATCTTACTTAAAAACAAGCTTGCAGTGGCAGTGAGGATTCTTGCAGCAGACCAGCAATTCTGGCTCACATCAAGATCTTCAGGCATCTTTATGCAAGTGGCATGGAAAATTGAGGTCTCTTGTCATCTTTGTCATCATGATTATTCCATTATTATTTCAAGATAGAGAAGTGAATCTCACCCCCTCCTGTCATCCTGAAGGCTGAGTTTCATTCCTAAAGAAAAGCATGGGGTTATCACTACCATTAGGAAGTAGTTTGTAGAAATTTTGGTTAAGTATTGGTTCAGGCAGTCATATCACACCAGCTTACTTTTCCTGGTGGTTTTAAGTCAGTACTAAAGGAATCACTCTGTGATTTAAACTGCAATGTAGCTACTTCTGAAGACTGTGTTTTAATACTAGGTGAAACGCTCTTGATCTCATGAACTGCCTAAATTTCCATTTCAACTTGTAAAGCACTAGCTTGTTATCTTATTTTCTTTTCTGTTAGTAAGCTGAACATACTGGTCTGAGCCTGGGAGACAAGTAGAAAAGAACAACATCTACACATAATTCTGTCCTCCTTGGGGGCTTCTCTCTCTTGCTCTCTCTCATGTATATATGAGAGAATAGCCTGGCCACGTGGATGTTTTTGCAATAAAACTCATGAATCAGTTTTGCTGCTGAAATTCATAACCACTCAAGAAAGTTGATCCAAAAGCACCAGGCTTGAACCTCCAGGAGGATGACATTAAAGAAGTGGAACGGGTTTGGTGAAAAATGTGAACAACTCAGTATGGCTGCTGAATGCCACCTGGCTATGTGCATGTTCCAAGGGAGAGCCAGATAGCCCTGCCATATCATCTCTGGCAGGTGACCTGTCACACAGCTGGGTCTCTGAACGCAGCATCCGCAATACAAGAGAGCAGCCCAGCAGCAGCACATGAGCTGCACTGTCCTGGGCAAGGCTTCCTGGGAGAGCCTGGGGACATAAGAAAGAGCCCTCTCATCCTGCAGGGAGAAGACCTCCCTCTGCCAGAGAAGAGAGTAAAACCTACAAGTTCCCAGTCAGCTAGCAGCCTGATCTTCTCACTTGCGCTCAGTCCGTCTTTTAGCATATTTAGAATGGATGAACTAAGAGCATGGCTCGGAATTGTCAGGCTATAAAAATAAGCATTATTCTGTGCCATTCAAGTAGATGGAATGGGAGCTAGCTGAATATTTTCTTTGCAGGATCTCTGGTGAAGTTCCCTATTAATTTCATCTCCCTCCAGCCGCCTCCACCCCAGCTCTGCCAGAGTCAGACAGCTGAGAAGTTTTCCACCCGCTTTTTCTGCTCCTCATCCTCGCCCACATACAGCTAACGAAGTGAAAGAGAATTGTTAACTAAAGCCGTTGGAGGGGGAGATTAGACAGAGGAAAGAGAAAGCAAGGAATCTCAAGATATATTAATTTGTACTGGCTCCAGCTTAAAAAAAGGTCTCGCTGCTCTGTCCTTACCACAAGATGTCTTAAAACACTCACAGTATAGCGCTGTGGAATGTTATTTGGCTGCTCCTAAAATGGCTTGTTTTTACCAGTTTGGGAACATTGCAGTGCAAGACGTGGACTTTATTGAGCTGTTCCATTATGGGCTTTCCCAGCAGCAATGCCTATTTACTTGCCATAGCTGTTCTTCAGAGATCAGTCATTTCATTTCTTATTGAGTTTTGAATTTGGTTTATTCCTTCATAGCAATTATTTATTAGCTAATAAGCCCTTCCGTGGGCTCGCAGTATTGGGTGGCCTTTAGGTTAAGTAATAGGAAATGGAGCCCTTTACATCCAAATTCAACACAGGCAATCAAAACTGGTTATTGTCTGAGGGACGTTTAGTGTTCGGCATGCAGTGAGTTCACTGGGTCTCAGGTCAGCTCCCACCAGGAAAATGTCTAGACGCTACATGCCAGTACTCTGCTGTTAATCCCACTGGTTCCAGTGCAGCCTGCACAGAGCAAATGACCGAACAGTCACTGCTGGTGTGCCACTCATGGCAGGAGAACAGTGCAAGGGTTACTGTGTCAGTTAGTTTGAGCTGCTCCTGGTCAGGAGATTGCAGGGAAGGTAAACTAAAGTGCTAACCTTGAGGCTCTCAAGAGCTCATGGACAGTAATTTCACTCAGAGATAAAAACGTTTTGATGTAATTGCAGATTTCTCATCGGTTTCATTGATTCAGGTTAGCACAAAGCACTGTGCTATCTGGAAGCCAAGTTTTCTGAGAGGAATGGCTGCAAAAGTTTTGAGACAAGCCCTGCTTTGAGTGAGGGTGGGGACCACCAGAGCCCCATCCCACTAAGTTCTTTCTGTGTCTGCTGCAGCAAATGCCAGCATTCTTAACTTTTCTATCTTGGCTCTGAATCCAGAATGGAAAATACTTTGCAGGTGCATGGACTAAGTACTTAAAGTAGATTATCCCCTCTGAATTTTTTCCAGTGCATACTGAAGGTCCCCAAATGCTGGGGCTATGTCACTCCCCTGAGAGAGAAAACTCTGCTAACAATTTTCCCGTCAGTAATGGAAAAAGATTCCTGTGCTCAGTCGCTCGAGTTCAAATTGTTTTCTCATTCAACCAGGTTTTGCATATATTTGTTGCAAATGTGTTTTGTAAGTGTAGTGGTGGCATTTGGAAGATCCCTTCTTACTCCCACTTCACACCGTGACCAAGCACGGACAAAAGTCATGGAGGTGACGTTTGTTCAACTTGGACTCTTTGCAGTAACAGGTGATGAGCAACTGCCAGCACATCTGCCTTGTGAATATCAGTCTGTGGGTGGTTTTAACATTTGGGTTAATAGGATCTTCTTGTCCATGGGTTATCCTTTACTGATTTGTCCAGATACTACAAAAAGCAGGTATTGCTGCTGGCTTCCTAAATGTCTCTTTCAGGTTCTTCGTTGCAGAAGCCAGAACCATGTGGCTTTATGAACCAAAGAAGGATCTGGATGCCCTTTGGTATTACATGTGTGTTCCAAAGCCTCAGACTGTTGAAGACTAAACCAGGATTAGGGCATTTTGGCGGTTGAGGCCTTAAGCCAAGATGCTGCAAAAATGATTGGACTCCCAATCTCTGGGATTTACCCAGGAGCACATAGCTAGAGTGAAAAGGTGACATGCAATGATTTCAAAGGATTCATCTTATTACAGGAAAATCACTCCAGATCATTTGTTTCCCACTGTGAAACCACACACAGTGCTCTGGTGGATGCTGCCAGTTTGAAAGCCACATTCTGGAGGATCCTGGGAGATGCCAGGTTCTAATAGAGAACACTGAGCACTCTTGTGCTCAGCTGTATATCAAACTGGTATCCAAGGTTATAATCATGATGTTGAACATACAAACAAGAAAATGGCTTTCTCTTTTCCACAGTGGATTTTTCAAAATAAATTGCCCCCCAGGCCAGGCTTGTTTCCCTCCATCAATTTAGCATCTTTTTCAACTTCACATCTAGACATGTGTGAGATTATCTTGGATGAGTTCTTGGTACAGCTATTTTCCTCTTTTTTCTACTATCATGTCAGACTTTTCTTGAGTTACATAGAAATGTTGGCATTTGTATGTGCTTGAGCACATGTGTGCGTTTACCTCTGGGCCACCAACTGCAGTATGAGTTTTATTGCATCCATTTTTACAACACTCACAGTATCACCTCTGAAACTCTGGCCATACTCCAGAATAGATAATTGCATTCCTCTTTATGATTTGAATGGGTACTGCAGTATTGCTCTTGACTTCCCATCTAGAGCTGTCACTTTGCAAGACTAATAGCTGCTAAATAGCTGTCCAAATTTATCCCTTCTGTCCTTGGTGAATCCGTTTCAACACATTGACTTTTTCTGTTCCCAAATATAGAATTCTAAGATCCAGTAATCACTGAAAGATCTTTGTTCTGATTCAGCATTAGTTCAAAAGGCAGAGTCCAGTGCTTAAAGACAGGAGTAGTGCTCTGAACATGTGCTTGTTAATAACCTGTGGCATTGGGCCCAATGCTGCAGGAATAGAAAAAGGAGGAGGAACGAGCTGCTTCCCTGGGAGATTTAACATCCAAGTCAGAGCAATTTTCACATCATAAATAAATCAGAACTGTGCAGTTCTTTCTTTGATGGACACCAGAGGGAGCTGAGTTTACTGGTCTTCCATTTTCATCCCTAAGATTGTTTGTCCCCATTTTTGGTTAATTTCTGTGTTTTGGTAACCATGAAAAGTAGATAGTTTTCCTCTTCCTCTTACCCGTTATTCTGGTGAGGTGAAAAGGAAAATGTTCCCCTTTAGAATTTAAAATGCACAGGGGATCAAAACCTTTAAAACTCATTTCCCTACAGGATTTAAAGTGCCAAAGCTCAGAAAATCTTAGATAACTAGAATAATTCATCCCACACAGCTATAGACACATTCACAGTACAGCTTTATAGGGAGTAAAGGAATGTCTTGTATGCATTCAGTTTAGGATATTAAAAAGTCCAGAGATGCTTTTGTGCACTTCAAAGGGCTCTCTGGAGATAAGGACAAATGGCCAGAGGGTGTTATAAGTTTTGATCCTCAAAGTCGTTAAGAGAGGACAACAAATAAAGTGATATTTGTTCCAAATGTGAAGGCTCAGAGTTCCTCAAGTGAATGGCTGCAGGGAAAGCAAAGTAATCTTGCAAAACCATCTCTGCCATGGTGGGCTAGATCCTCCTTTCTTCCTAGCAGCCCAAAGGAAGTACCAGGAATAATTGAAGCCATGACCTGTGAACAGTCTTCAATGAGCTTGTGATGTCGCATCATGACAGGGAGTGCCATTTGGCCAGCTCCTCATCAGCAAGGCCCTACACAGAAGCAGGGGCTTAGGATGTTAAAGAACACAAGTTCTTAAAGAGGTGTATTAATTCAGCCCCCAGGAGAAACTGAGCTGCTTCCTTTTTCTTTGTGGTGAAGCTCAGGACAAGTGCTCCCTCCTTCTCACTTCTCCTCTATTCATTTGCCAGTGCCTTACCACAAGCCTTCCCCAAGGTTTCCTTCTGCACTGCACAAGTCCAAAGAAACCTGGAGGAAGGGTTATGGAACCAAGGTGTTTCCAAGGACAATCTGTAAGAGTAAGCTGGGTTCCAAAGGGGCTGTATCACTCCTTTTTCTGGGGTTATATCAAAACAAAGCAAATCTCTGTAATGTTCTTTACATCACATCCATACAAACAACCTGCTTCCCACATAGTGACCCATGGACACCATAACTGAAAGGTAGAAAACAGGTGAAAGTGTGGCTCATTTACAGTGTCTTGGTTGAATTTTCCAGGTCCTTCCCTTTGCTGATGCTGTCACACTCAGACCTTGGCTGAGGTGTCAAGGATAAGGGGAAGGAATGAGGAAGGAAGAAAATTAACTGGGATGAGGTGATGCTAGATGAGAGACCAAAACACTAATGCAAGCACTTGTCTGCTTATGAGCTTCACACACTGCTGGAAGCTCCTTTATTAACTGTTTTTCTACCATAAGTCACATCCTTGTCCACTGCTCTCAAACTTCTCTGCTAAGCCTTTACCTTTTCTCTTTTTGCCTGGCAGATTGTGAGCACACTAACAATGGAAAACAGCAGCACATCAGGAATCTATTACTGCGTGGCCTCAAATAAGGTTGGTGAAGAAGAGAGGAGCGTTGAGTTCTATGTCTCAGGTAAACACCACAAGTGACTGACACTATACAAAACATAGATGCTCATCACGTGATTTACCTTAAAGTTGCATATGGCTGGGGAGCACTGGTTAACGTTTCTGAGAATCCTTAGATGTTGTGTTTTTAAAGCACTCCAAAAGCACTGTCCTTATGAAACCCCAAGCAAAAGCTAAGCTAAGTCTTTTGCAGTCTTCCAAAGGCTTGAGATCTCTCCCTGATTCAGGAAAGCAGCTGGCCTCCAGTTAATTCAGTGAACATAGCAAAGGTGAGCAAGGCCAATATTCAGACCTAATTCAGGGCCAGTATCACTGGGGGCTGTGGTGACACTAGGTCCCTGCCTGAGCAATTAGCCTTTGCAGAACCCTTTAAGGAGGGAGGAGGTGGACATGCTATTTCTCCAAAGAACACAAATCTAAACAAATATGTGCTTAACCTTTTAACACAGAAATTCTTTAGTAGTGAGATCAGGACCTGCATCATGCTTTCAGGAGAAATGGGAGTTTAAAAAAGGCAAAGAATCTGGGAACAGCCTTGTTCAAGAGCTTACCAGGCTACACTGAATCATTTCTGTGCTCACTTACTGGATGAGTGGATGCTGGATGGCAAAATTTGCATCAAAATAACATTTTTTAGAACAAAGAGTGCAGAAGTGCCCTGGAAGGTAAATGTCTTGTCCTCACCATTTTTCTTCCCCTTAAAGCCAATTGAGGGCTAAGCTCATTTGTGGCAATGTTCTGCACTACTCTGCCTCTTGTGTGTCCTTCATTGACTCCATTGCTCTAAAGTAGTTCAGAACATTACAGATCAGACGAGTCCACAAAGTGCTCGCTAAGCCTTGTCACCATTCTTATTGCATGGATGTACAATAATAATAATAGGGTAGAGCTTTCACCTCTAGTTACAGCTTCTGTGTGCCACCTCAATGCCGTATGGATTCAGAAGGGAGTTTTAAGACTCAGATGTCTTCCCAAGCCCTAACTATTTTTATCTGGGAAAAAAACCTTGAAGGTTCTCTGGTGAGAATTAAAGCACAGACATAAGAGATCCACAGGATTCCTGACCAACACGGGTTGAAGAACAGCTATTAATTTTACACTTCACCCCTTCCAAGAATGAGTTTTCATATGGGTTTGTTTCTTCTCTGGAGTCTGTGAGCGATCATGTTTGGCTGGGTTACTCAGAGCAGTATGTTCCCAAACCGTCCACTGCACTTCATAGTATCTAGTGACTAAGGCCAGTGCTGCAGCATCTAAAGAGGCAACTTGCATGAAGTCAGACTCACAGGGCTAAGGCACTGCTTGCACCTTACACAACTATGTTTTATTTTCATTTTTTGCCTTCTAGTAAAGATTCTTTTACAGGAGAATACTGAATTGGCACATTTTTGTTTTTCCCCCCACAATGAGCTAATATTTCATATTTTATATTTTAAAATCAATCTAGCAGCATCTTGAGACACAAACGTTTTAATCACGCATTTTTAATCATGAGGGAAATGAATCCCTAGGCAAAACTGCTGACAATGGTTCTGGTGGAAGCATTTCACTTTCATCAAAACAGACCACAATTTAACAGTGCTTGGGGAGACAGCCTTGCCCACTAAGAAAAGACGGGGTGTGTGTCGTTGTGTGGAGGAGGCAGATGCTAACTGAGCATGACTGACTTGTGTAAATGGTGCGTTTAAAAATAGTGCTGTTTACAGATGAGAAAGAAACACAACCTTTCTAAATTTGGCCATCCTGACCCTAAAGTCAGTCATGCTGCAGTGGTACAGCAGCCCCAGACTGACCTGCTGCTGGATTGCTCTCACCATGTGGTCTGCTGTTGGAGGGACATGCAGGGGAAGTTTGGAGCTACTAAACAGGGCAAGTTCAGAAGCAGAAGGCACCAAGCAAGCTGTGTTTGTAAGCATTGCCAAGGTAGTGAAAGCTTTGCTGTGACAGAAGGGGTGTATGTTTGGCAGAGGTGGTAGAATAACCTGTAATATACTGTTATCATGGATCCTGCCTCAGAATTCAAACTTTCACGTTTCCTGATACAAAACTGGCAGTTTAGGAACATCTTGATGAATATAAAGTGAGAATAAAAACATTTTGCAACTGCTAGGCTGATTTATTTTATGCAGATTGGACCTAAAAGCTGAGATGAAGGCTGAACCAGACTCTCAGAGCACATAGGTGGTGTGTGAGCCTTCAGGACAACATCCAGAAAAAGGTTCCCAGCAGCTTACACTCAGCCACTGAGCCTTGTTCTCTGCAAAGCAGCTGCAAACTGTGGGGCTCCACAAATAGTTCAGCACTTTGTTGGTTTTAAATACATGATTTCCCTTTATCTCCTACTGAAGAACAATCTGATGGCTTCTGAATTGCTTTCAAACTTTTGAACTGAATTCAGGTTAATTAACTTCTCCCTGCTAAGAAATCTGAAAATAACACAGCAGCTAGACTCTCTTCTTTCCTCAAAAAACTCGTTCCATAGGTCAGGGTTGAAGTGCTTTGCCAGGACACGGCTCAGAGTTACAGGGAAACTCAATCAGATGTTGCCCAGGCTGCATCTGCTTGGTGGGGAAATGTCTTCAGCCAGGTGCATGCACCTCAGCATTAGTTCCGCAGAAAAGTATCTATCCTAATGGAATAACTTCCACAGCCATTTTGTTCTTCCACTGCAAAGGCCCCTCAAAAACTCACAGACATTAGAAACAGCACTGGAATCTATTTTTAAAACCTTTCCTTTGCCAGTAAAATTTGTTCCAGTGAAAGGTCATCGGGGTTTGGAGATGACACTGAAACCGAGCCATGCAGGGGGCCAAGGGGATGTGGAACTGTATCACCCAGTGACCAGCTTCCAATTGTCTGCTCTGCACCTTGGGAAGAGCAGCTGTGTATTACCATAGCTCCACAGTAAATCAGATTCTGTCTCTTGAGCGATTGTGCTAAATACAACAAAACAGGATCCCACCCATACTAAACCTCCAAATGTTCTTAGAATATAAATGAATTATGCTAAGAATAACAAATAATAACAAAAGTCCTTTTTCAACCCATATCTGATTGCAGAAATAACTCAGAAAAATTGAATGAGAAATTTCTACCAGAAAGAAAATAGTGTATTAAAAACATGAGATAAAATCTGCTATCAGATATTGGACTAATGAATGAACTGGGCCTTTCTGCAGCTGCCACTCTCACTTTGTTTACTCCCAACATGCTTACAGGATTTAGGAAAAGCTCTGTGCTGCTTCAGATGGCAGGGCTCTCCCTTCCTGTTTCTCACTCTCCCTACATGAATGAGCCTGGCAGAGCCCTCTCTGCTCTGAGAGGCACAGAGATGGAATCTGGAAAGGAGCAGAGTTCTGAATTACACTGATTATTGTGCAAAGCGCAGGAAATTAAACCCAGTTAATTCCTTGTAAATAGAATTGGAGCCAGACTTTCTTTTGATTTATGCTGACTTTTTACCTTCTTCCAGTGGCTCATTTCCCTATTTTGTCATGGAATCCCTCACAGTTGAGAGTGAAATTCATGGCTACACTGTAACACAGTATGAGAGACAAGTGTGTGGTGACTGCTGATAAAAGAGAAAAGACCCCACAGAGCATTCTTCTAGCTGTTTTATTGGGAGTCTTACAAAACACTGTGTCTGTTCAGGGAGAGGAAGTCAACCATTGCTCAGGTTCAAGATCGTGTAAGCAAAGCAGTGCAAGGGAGAACTGCCTTACAGCTCCCAGCACCGCAGCCACTCCCAGACAGTGCAGGTAAGGGAAGAACAGAGAGGAGGGCAAGAGAAACTTTTATTCCCTTTTTCCTTGCACTGTAACGAAAATCAATGAATATTCTATTGGAGCTGAAAGAGCTTGAAAGACTAACAAGATGGAAGAGACTAGCACAACTTCCAGCTCAAAATAGTCAAAATGCTAAATAAAAAATGTCCGTAAGAGAAATGACAAGAAAAACAAGTGCTTCTACTGCTCCCAGAGTGTTGGCAGAAAAAAAATCCTGCACCAGTGAGGTTCAGCAGGAAGGTGACACTGTTGAGCACCGTGCCCAGGCAGTGCCTGCACAAGAAATGCAGTGCTCCTGGTGGACTTTTCCTACAGCCACTCGTGGTAACGCCCTGCAAAACAAATGGGGCTGCGAGTTGTGAGAATTAGTTAGAGAAATTTTAATTAGAGAATCAGAAGAAGATCCTGCCTGAGGGGTAGAGGAAAAAGCAAAAAGGGCTGCAATCCAAACCACTTTGGGGCAGGATTTAGTCTGCCTTGCAGGCTTGCAGGGCTTCACAGTGTTTTGCTCTGGGAAGCATGTCCAAGCTCCAAGTTCACCATTTTACCTAGAATCCATGCATGCTTTCTCTGGGATCCAACTCTAAAGATAATTCAGGCTGGAGAGGATCCCAGACCATTGAGCTTACCTAAGCACCAAGTCTAACCAAAGACCCATCTGGTTCAGTTCTATAACTCTCACAGGAGATACTAAAAAACATTGAGAAAAGAAAGCAAGAAAAAGTCAGCTAAAGAGGGCACTTTTTCTCTATTTTGGTTTGATGGCTGCGAGGGATGCAGCTCATGCCACACCCCACTGTTTTCACTGAACCTTAATTCTTCCTATTTTGAGAATTACTGCTCTCCTCAGACTTTCCCCCTTGATCATGTTGATATGTAGGAGCCACAGGGCATCAGATGGAGGATGGATGTGTTACACAAGTTAGCTTGAGTGTGCAGCTATCACTAACAAAAAACTGCATAAAGTGGGCTGAAATTTCATTAAAAGAAAGAGAAAACAATTTCCACAGCTGTGGCCTAAGGGGTCTCTTCTCTTTTTTGGAATTTTCGTAAAATATTTCTGGAGACAGCCTTTAAAAATCATTAAGCTTATTGGTTATATTCCAGATGACTTGTGAAGAAGATTTTTAATTCTATCTAAAATCTCCTTCAGGGCTCTGTATTTCATAGAACATATAGTGTATTATAAGGCAGATTGGTTATTATAACATCCTTGCTATTTATGCTCAACTATAGCTTCAACAGAGCTTTTTGCAAGGGCTTACAGTGTGAGCCCCTGGCCAAATGCTAGCTCCCATGTGGAATTTGTCAGACTGCAAACATGATGCATGGTTGCTCCTCTTTAACTGATGTCCCCTCTGAGTGCCATCCATTGGAGAAAGCATCTTATTAACAGCTCAGTAGTAAAGCAACAGTCTATCATCAGATTTATTGCAAGCAAGTGTTCAGAAGGTAAACCAGAACTAGTGTTCCCAAGGTGTGCCACCCCAGTACTGTGCAGGTGACACTTTAAAAGGATTCTTCCCAACTCTCCATGTCAGCTGCTTCTGAATCCTGACCTAACAGACAGAAGAACAATCCCAGGCCACTGTGATTATCAATGCACTTTCATTCAAGTATTTGGGGTGCACAGATCATGGAAGTAACAGAATAAAATAAGCAAAGAATATTTTGCAGACACAATTTAACTGCAGGTCCCTAGCAGCTAAGGCAGTAATAGGAATTATTTGTAGGCCAGATTTTGGCATTCTACTCAGAAACATTTTTTCTTGTCTTCAAATGGATTCAGTTAGGCAATTCAGGAAAATTGATTTTTTTTCTGAAATGAAAAGTAACTAAAAATATAGCAAGAAACTGCTTATTCATTTGTGTATATGTTGGAATCTGCATCAAAGTATTACTGTGGTAACAAAGCCTCAAGGACTTGTACATCATTAGACCAGTTTGTCATCCATCCACAGATCAAATAAATATCCATGTGAAAGAGGAGAGAATTGGGAAGATTGTTCAGTGGTGAAGAAAGAGAGCGTTACTTGTGAGAAATGGGAAGAGGTTTCTTTACTCTAATGCAATTACACTTTCAAGCACTGATAGCAGATAGAAAGAGAGGATGTCATGAACGCATTTATCCACCTGCATAGCAGTCTCTTGATTAAACTCTCTTAGTTCATTAACTGCTTCTATATATAAACTTTCAATTAATTACTTGAAAATGTAATGCCTCTTTGCACGAGCAAATGCGGATCTCATTAGAGTGGCTCGTTCCATTGGGGCTGCTCACTGAAATCCAGTCATCAAGTTGCAAATGGGCACCCAAAGCCATTCTCAATTGCAACGTGATGGCAGACGTTTTCTTTTCCTGCAGATGTGCCATCGGGGTTGCAGACGGCCCCACAGGTCACAGCCATTGCAGGGAGCACTGCCCAGCTGACCTGCAGGGCCTCCAGGTACATCTACAGCAACCTGGCCTGGTCCTACCCGTCCCGGGCCGCGGCTCACGGCAGCTCTCTAACCCGGAGCACTGACGCCTACTCCATTTCCCTGACCCTGATCATTGCAAACGTCACAGAGGAGCACAGCGGCCTCTACAAGTGCCGTGCCCAGCACCAGCACAACGGCAGCGGCACGCTGGAGCAGCACACACGGCTCCTTATCAGAGGTGGGTGGCACTGTCCTGCAGCTGGGGAAGCAGAAACACTGGGCTCTGTCAAAGCACAAGGTGGGCAGCATTTCCTAGGGACAGCCCTCGTATGCACTTTGTGATTTTTCACATTTCTGTGTGAGATTTGACTCCTAGCCGTGAATGTGATTCATCTAGCCGTTACTGGGTTTGTAGTAAATGTTCTCCTTACTCAGAAAGGTGATTTCAGCAGCCTTTATCTCCCTGTCTCCCTGCTGGATACAAGTTTAGTGCTGACTGAGGAATAAAGACACTCCCACCACGTTAGCAGCAGCACAGCTGTATCTGTTGGAACTGCCACTCCAGGTCTGGGGGGCTTTGGGAGGGCTGCCGGGATGGTGCAGACACCTGGTGTAACCACAGATGTATCAGGTCAGGTGTACAAACTAGGGATGTGTACCACTTGGTCTGGGTACACGGGATGCACTTCATTATAGCATTATAGCATTTTCTTACATGCACTCAAATCCCTGTCTCTTTTATTTCCATGAAAATAGTAGTACTGCAGATCCCAGAGCCGTGTTTCATTGCTCTGGCTGTGAAGGACCAGACACTTCCTCCAGCACCACACACAAACTCGCCAAAATGAGTGAAGTTTCTTCAGCTTCATAATAAAGAAAATGAGAGGGATCAACTCCAAACCTTCTTACAGAAGTGCTGCTGAGGAAGTGCCTCATGCTTCTAGTGAAGAAAGGTGAAGAAAAGCCCAAAGCATTGAAATAGAGCAGAACTGAAATAAATGGCAGCAAGCAAGGGCATAGCAAGCAGGGTGCTTTAGAACTAAGTTAGTGATTTCTAAACTGGCTTCTCCACTCACATTAATGAGTGATGAGGCACCAAAAAGGCCTTGTCACCAGGCACGAATCAGGCTGTGCAGCACTGGCTGCACTCCTGCCTACAACGAGGCGTGAGCGCTGCCCCATCCCACAGCACAGAGCAGAGCAAAGATCCCACGCCGTATGGCAGCACTCTGGCATCTGCCTTGTCCAGAGCCACCTGCCAGCATCACCTGCCACGGTGCACCAGGATCCCTTTGCATTCAGGCAATGCACTGCTCTCTCCTCCGGCAGATATTTTATTCATTTAGTCAGATTTCCACCTACGCAGACACCTACACACGATGGCTATGAGAAAAACACAGTTAAACTGGGAATACAGCCATGGGAGAACTGCAATCTTAATCACAGCCTTGTGAGAACTACTGGGGTCTGTTGTTTGTCTGGCACATGTCAGAGATGCAGTTTTTCTCAGAAATGTACATGGAAACACCTCTGCAAACCAGCCCTCCTTCTACAGAAACCAGCTTTCAGATGTTTTTTTTTTTAATGTATCAACACCCATCAGCTACTCTCCTTACTGACAAAAAAAATGCATTTTTTATGCTAGAGATTTTATTCAATTACTTTCCCGTATCTTTTTTAAGTGAACATAATGTATTCTATTGTGTGGAGGTTAACACACTTTGCAGTAAGCAGATAACTCCTGTCATCATGGAGACAAAATCCTTAGAACTGATCCTTCTTTGCTTCCTCCCTTCTTGTTTTGCACCTACTCTGCCCTTGCTCTGCCCACTCTCTGTGCTCTGCTTCCTTCAGAGGATGAGAAACTTGAGGAGGTTCCAGGTTGAGCTGAATCTTTGCATAAGCAGCTTGAAAATAAGCCAGATGAGCTCTTTCCATGATCATTCGGGGGAATTTTGCTACCCAATCTCTGCAGCTGGCCCAAGGAGACAAGGTGTAGATGACTCCTGGAATCTTACTGTGTATTGTTTTCCTCTGTGACTGCAGCAAAGGCAGCCCCGTATGTCCTACAGAATCTGACAGATCTGGAGGTTAATATCAGTGGCAAGATCATTCTGGAGTGCAGAGTCAGTGGAACACCAGAGCCACAGATTACATGGAGCAAAGATGGCTACCCCATCTCAGCAGCATCAGGTGAGCATTGCTTTAACTCATGGTGACAAATGGCACTATGGGATTGCCACAAGCAGGGACATGCAGCCCCACAGCTACTGCCAGCGTGGCTGAGTGGGGATATCAGACATGGCACGAAGGGAAACGTGAGCTCAAATCCAAGTACGTCGGACCCCTGCAGCAGTCTCTGACTTGGACTTCAGTGTCTGAGCTGCCAACTGGCTGCTACTCGCTGCCTGTTCGTGCAGCTTTCCTCCTGCACACAGCGGTGTCTGCAGTCCTCGATCTGAGGACATTAGCATAGCTTTAGTGAGACTGAGGAGTACAGTGTGCTGCTGCTCAGTCTGCTTGTGCTAAGCAACAGTTTGTGCATGAAACTCTAACTCCCTACTTGCTGGGATGCTCTGAGAACACAGGCCTGAACTGCCACACATCCCTGGTGCTGGTCACAGTGCACTGCCATGAGCTGTAGCAATTCTACCCAACGGCCAGGCCAAGGCTTGCCGTGGTATCACTCATCTCTTCTTTATCTCTCACAACACAGAAAGGAGAATGGTGCAGCAGCTGTTGTGAGCACGGGGCAGGGCTCCTTCACCTGCACCTGGAACTCCTCATCTCTCTGTCCTGAGATGTCCTCCAAGTCATGAAGGAACCCATGTCAGGAGCTAGTCCTGTAACTTTAATTTTGCATCTAGGTAGGAAATCTAGGATCATACATAATTCAGATCAGAGTGTTCTGAGCAGAAACTCTTTATAGCTACTGAAATTTTATAAATAATTCTAGAGGGACAAGCATGTAACATCCAGCCAATGGAAACATAAATAAAATATTTGGAAAAAACACCTCAGGGTAAATATTTCAGCAGGGCATGTGGTAAATTATGTGGTACTCTTGTTAACAGTGACAGAATTCATGGGCAGAACACCTTGCAGTGCAAAATGCCCTTCCCGATTGGATTCAGAGATCAACATGCTTCCCAGTTTTTGCCCCAAACACATCCCTGGTGAAATGGATAAGATCTCAGTTTTGTACCACAAAAGCAGGTAAATTATATGTGGAGAAGCCTTTCATAGGTCATCCCTAGGTCATGTCTCTCTTGGCAGCCCAGCATTTGCTCCTGTCCTTCTGTGAAGCCAGGATTTTTCCAGGGAAGCATACAACCTTCCTGACCACGTTCACACAGTAGAACTCCCACCACTTCCCACAGCCTCTGAGATGCTGCCTTTCTCCAGTAGTTTCTTTGAGTTCCCTTTTCTTTCAGGTATAATGTTGCTCTCAGAAGACTTTTCACCACTTCACTAAATTCCATGAAAGTTCTGTCAGGCTCTGTTTGCAGTAAGTTAACAGCTGCATTCACTGTAGGATAAGCGATGCCCAGCAGTCTAAACTGGTGTCAGGTTGTTGCCAAACCACAATAAGGAACATGGCCTTAAAATGATTCCTGACAGCAGCATAGGAATGAATGGGAGCTCATCTTCAGTGCTCTGCCTCCTGAAAGCATTTGGGGGAAGGTAGATTATTGCAATAAAATTCACCTAGATCCCTCACTGCAGGAATTTCCATGGAAAATAATACCCTGGTCATTGAGAGAGTGAAGAAGGATGATGAAGGGCTCTATGAATGCAAGGCGACCAATGACATGGGCCAAGACAGTACATCAGCCTTCATTAAAATACAAGGTGAGATCTAAGCTAAGGTAAAACCCATACATTGTGCTGGACTGATGTGAATTATTGATCAATCATGGGCTTTGGCTATATTTAAAATCTGGCTGTATGTTTAACCTACAGGTTCTGAGGAGAAATCCAACATCGAAGTTATCATTTTGGTCTGCACTGGTCTTGCTGCTACCCTCTTCTGGCTCCTTCTGACCCTTTTCATTCGGAAACTGAGAAAAGTAAGAGAGCTTCCATACTGCACGAAGGTGCTGAGGTTGGACACCTTTTATGCATAGCATCAGCGTTTAGGGCTGCAAGTCACTGTGAATGTTGGGGACAAATATTAGAAAAACTGTGACAAATGTTCCTATAAAATTTAAGTCCAAGATTTCTGATGACAGTCCCCTACCTTCCCGAAAGATCACTTGTACTTGTGAGATTTCTACCCACTTCCACATAAAATCAGGCTACTCTTCTTTTATGTGCCAAACTGCCTTGCAAGACTTGAAGAGAAAACATTAAATCCCCTAAAATGAGGGCTCGATTTCAACAGCTGTCCAGTAAGATTTCTCTGAAACACAAATACTGAAGGGAGCACTGTTCAAAGAAAAATTCTAGCATGAGCCCCAACCGCAGAGCTTATTTTATCTCCATGCGTTGGTATTCTTTTACCTCCCTTTGTGACTCAGAAAACTAGAGTTTCAGTAAAGTTCTGAGGAATGTTACTCCGTTTCTCCTACAACAAATCGTAAACAGAAGGGCGACCACAGATCTGTGCTCTGAAGCTCACCCAAATACAGTCCTAGTGCTGATACCTGATACTTGAATAAAATTTCTACTCCTGCCACAAATACAGTGATCAAATTCATGTTTTTGCTCCTTGTCGCAAATGCTGTGGAATTTGCTATTATATTTCACACCCACGTGAATCTGCTCACAGGTTCTACCAAATCACGATTTCTCACTGAACAGCATTAAGAGTAACTATTAATGTTCACCAGATCTCAACTAACTTTAAATTAAAAATTAATTAATTTAATCAAATGTGCAATTAAAATTCTGACTAAAGCAATCGCTATGAAACAGCTGTGCAGAATCAAGTCTGCAAAACAAAATGTTGCTGAACTGAAAATGGAGCAGAACATGCAGAACACTCTGCAGGCCACCAGCAAGTGCAGCTTGTGGAGATCACAGAGAAAAGCGCTTCTTTATTTTAATAGATACAGCCAGAAGAAAGTAATAGTGTGTCCTCAGAGTGTTTATCAACATTAATCCAAGAGTCTGCCCAACACTGATGAGTGACAGACATGCATAAACATTTATTTCCCAGATAAGGGGAAAGGAGAGGCAAAAAACTGAAGGGATGCATTTATGGTTTGGAATAAATTTCAGAGCTAAGACTGCAATACAGGGAACTCCCCAGCTTGTTTTTCATCTTACAAATGACAGTTCTCCCCCATTAGAGTTGCAAAGTAAACACTGTGAATAATTTTTTCCAATTTTTAGCCTGATGCCACAGATATTAAAACAGGATACCTGTCAATTATAATGGATCCAGAGGAAATGCCTCTTGATGAGCAGTGTGACCGTCTTCCCTACGACAGCAGTAAATGGGAGTTCCCAAGAGACAGGCTGCGGTTGGGTGAGTGGTTCTTGATCATTATTATAAAGAATGATGGTTTATAACGCTTTTCAATTTCAATGGACCTGTTGTACAATCCAAGAATCAGCCTACTATTTAGGGCTGGCATACTCCCATCCTTTGGTGAGAATTGGCACCAAGTCACAGAATTCATTGTCACCCTTAAACAAGGTGAGACAAGGAGTTCGGTAAGGAAAGCAAAGATGTTGTCTCTCAAAACAGTTTTCATCTCTTACTGTTCCTTGGAGAAGTGAAACCAAACTCTTAACAGGGAAGGGAAGGTACCTGCAGGTACTGTGCCTGTCAAAAACATGGCTTCCCTCCTATAGAGGACTAGGGAAAGAGGGGTGAATCTGGAAGGTTACAGTCTAACAGTGAATTTTTCTTTTGAAGAATAATCAGTTATTTGTCAGCTATTCAAAGTTGGCTTTGAGCTGTAAAGAACTATCAAGAAAAACAAACCAAATTTAACTGAACTCAACTCAATGGATGATAGAGCAAAGAAATGTAAAAAGTGGACTGTGTTTGCTTAGAGAAACAGTAACATCTGTGTGCAACAGTGAGTGCAGGGAATATATGTGTGTATGTGTGTGTTCATGGTGATCAAGCTGGAGAATGGAGAAGAAAGAGGAAGACAGACCAAAAAAGGAAAAAAAGGAGAAGGTGGTGGGACATGGGCTCAAACTGGCAGAGTGGAAGGGCCATACCACGATGCCCAGGGTACCCTACTGCACTACGGGTCAGAGCCCTCAGAGCACTAGGTGGTATGGGCCTGAAAATTCAAATGGATGTGAAATTATGAAAGATCACCACCTGAAATTCCATTTAATATAAATTTTACTTCAAATAAAAGTCAATAACTAAAGGTTCAAAGGGTTCTGGCTGTCTGAGTGCCTTAGCAGGCCATCGTTATGACTGTGATTCATGAGAGATCAGGGTTCCACAATTCCACATTTAACCTGATTTTCCAGAGCTTGAGGATGACTGTATGTATTGTTTTTACCCTTAAGCCATATATATATATATACAGCCTTGCCTTCAGCTGAATCCAGATTTATTTATTCTACTCTGTTCTATCACATTCTGTATTGCATTAAAGTCATATGGATATAAATCATTCTGTTTATATCCATATACTGCAAATATGTGATACAGGCTTCTGTCAGCTGTCAGTCTACGTTGTGCCTGGGTGCTGGAGCCTTGTATTTCTTGCACAGCTGAGAATGCATGATTCCCTCTTACCCGATGCAGACTGTTTTAAGCCCCCTTTGGCTCATTCTTGACTCTTGCTTCTCTAGGTAAAACACTGGGTCACGGTGCTTTTGGGAAGGTGGTGGAAGCGTCTGCTTTTGGCATTGATAAATCTTCAACCTGCAAAACAGTTGCCGTAAAAATGCTCAAAGGTACATATCCCTCTGAGATACTCAGGAGGCTCCTCAGGGAACATGTGGGCAGTAAGGTTTCCAGTTCTCAGCTCCAAACAAGTCTCAAGTTCATTGTGTTCAGAAGGGAGTGGGTTTGCCATATGGGAGCAATTAGTCCTTACAGAGTGGATGTTAACGTGTGGGAAATGACAAGTGGGCTCCATGCTGTGCTGCTGATAGAGTCTGGTATCCCTAGAGGAGGAAAACAGCAGCTTACAGGTCTGTGAGGTTAGAAGGGAAACAGATTACAGAATGTAATTACACTAGATGGTCTGGAATTGGATCTAAGCCTTCGATCACAGGCCTTTCAGATGCACAACATTTCAAGGGGCTGAGAAAAAGCAGTGCCAAGAGAGTAAATTAGAGACAACTTGCTTGCAATTATAGAAATTAAGGAAAGCTTTTACCATTCAGCAATGAGGAATGGATGAACTTGGAGACTATTCTTTCAAATTACATTTACATATAAAGCCTCTGCAGACAGCTTATGAATAAATGCATCTGCTAGCACATTGGCTTCTTGAGCTTCAGCTTTATGGCTGCTCATGTAGGATTTTTTCAAAGGTGCAGTCAGTGCTCATTGGATATCTGCACAGCCCACATTGCTCAGCATTGCTGCTGCACGGCTGTATTACTGCTGCATTAACTCCTGCAATGCCATGAACTGGGAAATTCTCTTTCATCACAGCATTTGGCTTCTGTTTCCAGCTGCTTCTGATGCTCTGCTACTTCCCATCTCTCTCAAGTGCCAGACTCATCAGCTCTCTTCTCTGCATTACTTTCTAGATCTTCAGATCATCATTTTTTGTTCTCATTTCCTCTGTTCCACACCCATTCCTTATGTATCCTAGAAACCACTGATCTAGCCACACTCCATCCATACTGCCCTAGATAGCTCTGGGCTTTCATTCACTTCCATGCTGTGCTTCCCAGCTGATCCTCATGTCAACTCCACCCTGCCCACACATATTCAGCAAAAACTGACAGTTTCCCTATCTAATTTTACCTTTTTCTCCCCTAGGGGGGTCAGCCAGCTCTAACCTGGCATTCCCAAACTAACATGCCCATAATTCATCATGTTCCTGAATAAACCAGATTCTCTAGCTGAAATCAATCCATTCAGGGGAAAAAAAGAAAAAAAGAAAAAAAGAAAAAAAAAGGCTTTAGAGAAGTTTACATTACTGTAATTCTCGTGTATCTGTCATTTCCTTGAAGCTGACTAGTGTCTGTTCTGGTTTGAAGGTTACGTGTTCATGTGCTAGATTATCTGAAGCATTTCAGAGGCTGCTTTAGCTTTCACCAGGCGTGTGTTCTGGCATGCTAGTGTAAATCAGGAGAGGTGCCACCCCCCACACATCCATGACACCAGTGACTGAAGAAACTTGGGGCTTGGAATAACTCCTTCTTTATGATGCACAGTTTGGTGAAAACTTGTTTATGGGAATTCTACCAACAGATAAAGAAGTTGTATTTGTTACACCAAGTGATCTGTTATGTAACTATTTTTTCATTTTTAAATCTTACGTGATTTTGCTAAGGCAAAAACAGAGGAAACAGGATGCAGCCCCTTTTTCTTACAGTGTATTTTGACCATGACAGTTTTGGAAAGAAGGCAGAGGAAACAGGTCAGCATCTGAAGAGCATTCAGGATTGAGAATGTCTTAACTTTGGCAGCGAAAGAGAATGAAGTACAGTATAGCAGGCTAACCAGAGCTCATGAAGTGTGGAGGTCATGGTTCATACCCTCACCTTGGCTCAAATGTGTATTTCTAAGGTCAACGATATCCCACAGGACTGAGATTTATTAATGCTGTACATTCTCCAATAGCTTTTGGGACTCATCTTGCAGATGTGGGGGGTTTCTCCAACACATGCATTGGAGTGATGTTTAGTACTGCAGAGAAATGTATTCAGAAGTATTGTAAAGAAGTGCTGCTAAACTGCACATCACTGCTACCAAAAGAGAAGTACGTTATTCTGCTTGTTATTGCTGCTTAGAATGATTGTTCCTCTACTAAACTTGCAAAATTCAGTTCTTGCAAAGGTTCTCTGGGATCTGATTTAGGTAAGTTCCTCTACAGGACAGTAACCTCTGTAACTCATTTTAGAGAAAGAAAGGGTCACTCAAAAGATAGTGTTATTCCACTTCATAAAGGTCACCCGGAAACAATGAAGCAGCTGAATTATTATCTGTTTGAGAGTCTGAAAGGCAAAGATACTGCAAGTAACCTGGGTGGCTTTTGTTTCCAAGTATAAACAGGATCTTGCTGTGTCCTGCTGAAAATATCCTGCTGTGTAAAGATGATTTTTTCCTGTTTATCTTAAGCAGAATGTGCAACTACTAATGAATGCAAGGCTTTAATGTCTGAACTGAAGATCCTTATCCACATAGGACACCATCTGAATGTAGTCAACCTGCTGGGAGCTTGCACCAAAGCTGGAGGTAAGAAGTGCTCACTAAATATGAAGTAAAGAAGAAGCCCTTCTCAGTTACGATGGTACTTCAACGTATCTGTGCTGCACTGCCCAAGTCTCATGCACGCACTGTTAATGGAAGCACAAGGAGTGCTTCTACTGCTGCAGATATGGCCACATCACATAAATGGCTTCTGAAACTTTTCCCCAACCACAGGTGTCACTTCTCTATCTTTTCTTTCTTTCTCCTTTGTAAGCTCATTTACAAAAGAGAATATGAACTGCAGAGAGATGGGTTCCTTCATTGCAGTTCAGTTCCTTAGTCTTCCACATGAACACCATATGTCATTTCAAAGGTGCTTGTCCCCTTCTTCTCCCTCTTCTTCCCTGTCTTCTTGGGATAATGCACCAGGCTAAAAGGTACTGGTGGCTTCCTCTTCCCAAGTGATTCAGTCCTGCTAGGAGTTTCATTCCTTGCATAGCATGCAGGAAGCCTTAGGCAGTCCAAAGCTGAATGGAGCAGCAGTATGGACTTCCAAGGGACTGAGCTGACATGGCTTGCTGTACATCATGCAAAAATCTACTGGGAAGTGCAGACTTAAAGAAAAGATTCCATAAATCGTAGACCTTTGTCACTAAAGCATCCCTTCCCTTCCCATGCTGCCCTACAAAGCATCTGTATCTCTTACTGCACTGTGCTTTAACTTCAGTGTGCCAACTCTAAAAGATGCCTTTTAACGGCTTACAATGAGCCTTCAGAACAGTCCCAAGGGGATATTTAAGACAGCTGAGGACAAAGAAACCAGAGTAAAACAAATGAAAGGGAAAGAGTGAGAGAGATGGTGTGCACATCTGTTGTTATCTGGGACTCTGAAACTATCATTTTCCCAAAGAACGTGGAGTTGTCCATTTAAATGGGGAAAATAAGATTTCAGCCAGGTGGATTTGTTAGGATAAGAGAAATCTCCTACCCAGCAAGATCCTCCCAGCTTGAAGGGAGCAATCAGTAAGTAGCAGCCTGCTGCAATCTGGGAGCCAGGAATGGGGAGCTCACAGGGATTATTGGAGCATGCAAACCCCAAAAGTTTGTATTCAGACACATAAGAAGCTTGGCTAGGTAGCTGGGATTGTGAGTGGAGAAGTTGTGGCCTAACAAACAGGTGCCTAAAACATGGCAGCCTTGCTAGAAGGTCAGTAGTTGTTAACTGCTTCAGCCACAGAATTCCAACTGCCTAGAAAAATACACTGCAGTAACTGGTCCTGCACTGTGACTGTCCATCCTCTGAAGAGCTTTTTCTCCTAGGAGCCCCTCAGTTTCCCAGTGCAACTGCAGACTGAAGAAAAATAGCTGTGAGCTCTCAAGACTGACGCTGAGATAGGAGTTACTATTAAAATGCCATTGCAGAATATGGTGTTTTTTCCTTCCTTGTTAGGTTTTATATAACCATACAATGACACTTCTAATGAAGACTGATATTAAGTATGCACATACATTATTTCAGCAATATAACAGCTAACAAATTTTAACACTTTGGCTGAGCGTCTGATGCTGAGCACTTAGAATTAATGCACAGTGTATGCTTTGCAGTGAAGAAATAAAATACAGAGAAGTCACGGCTAGGAAACCTATCAGAGCCGTGCATAAATCAGTAACAGGAGCTACAAAGCTGTGCTTGAATCCGCATTTGCCTGGGGCATCCATGAGAGCATTTGACCCTGGGTTCTCTAGAGAAACACCCCCCTAAGATCTCCTTGCTCTGCCAGCCCCCAGCACTCCAACTGGGGCAAGCTGTGTGCTCGGCAGCAGAACCACCCTGAGCTGAGGCTGGCTGTGCTCGTGCAGACGCTGTGCTGAGAAGGTTACAGCTCTGGTCAATGGGATCTGACAGGGATCCAGCACACTTTCATTGCCTCCACAGGCATCAGCTCCACCCAAAACAAGCAATTGCAAAGACAGAGGATGCTACGATTCTGTGAATAGAATAAACAATCATAACAACATAGAGGAGTGCATATTCTTCTTTATAATTCTGAATTTCCCTTTGCCAGTGTTCATAAATACCAATGTTTATCATCAAATGGGGAAAAGAATCAGTTCTGTATTTCCTCCTTTCTGTATCTACTGTTGATTACGTGCTTCTGGAGTGTCACTTCTCTGTTTCCTGAATTCTTCACCTATTTAACAGGAATGATAGTATTTACCTATTTAGAAGAGGATTTGTGAGGATAAGGTAACATTAAGTGCTATGCAGTGCTTCAGAACTCATTTGACTTTCACTGTCTCTTTAGGTCCTTTAATGGTCATAGTAGAATATTGTAAATATGGAAATCTGTCCAATTATCTACGAGGAAAACGAGGAGATTTCATTGCATACAAGGTAAAGGAATTACAGTCATAAGCCAAAGAACTAAAAACCACTGACCTCAAGTTCAGTTTTTTCTGCGTTAACACAGGGGGTTTGATATTTATGTAGGCTGCTTTCACACCACGTTTCAATTCATATGAGCAACAAAAAGACATGGTCTTCCTTGGACCTCACTCCCATCCTCTTCCTCTGAACAACTACTAAAGAAATAGCTGGAAATACCCAAATACTAGTGCATTTGAGACAGAAAGGGAACTTCTTGTGATACACTTCCCAGCACAAGGAGGTCACAAAAACTGGTGTGAACAACATAAGCCTAATTTAGGGATTTGTGTTTGGTAGCCCCCAGTTATCAAAACTAGGCCACCTTCTCTGCCATGTGCTTGTTCCCATCTCCTGCACTCTCCCTTCTGTGCCAATCCAAGAGCCTGTGCAGCAGGCAAACACAGTCTGAAGTAAAGCAAACGATGGTTGTGTTTCCAAAGGGTTGTGTCCATCCACACAAACATTTGTGCTAGCATAGATTGGGCTGTGGTACAAGGGAAGACACAGAAAGTCAGAAATCAGCATTGAGGAGAGGATGGGGCTACTTTCCTGTCATGAAAACATAGTGCCTCGGGGCTCCCTACACCAAGCCCTGCAAGAACTGGAGCCTCTTCAGAGTTACAGTCTCTCTGCTCATCCCTTAGTCTCATCTAGCCTGCTTCTACCTAACTTTCATGGTGCAATATTAATAAATGGGAGTAAGGTGTATTAATAAATAGGAAGCAGGGAACATCCTTTCAAACATGGTTTGAGTGTATCTCCAGGGGACCTTTTCTCCTCTCTGTATGTCATTCCATTGCACAACTGTCAATACCGAGTTATGACATCTTCAAATGCTAAAATCAGTTTTATACCATTTCTAGTCCCAGGAGAACTCTGGCCAAGCAGAGAAAAGCCTGGATGAGTCCAGCAGCGATTTGACAGAGCTGATCAAGAGACGCCTTGAGAGTGTAGCCAGCACTGGGAGCTCTGCCAGCTCAGGATTTATTGAAGATAAGAGTTACAGTGACTCTGAAGAGGATGAAGAAGGTAAAAGAAACCCACCTAATCCCACATCTTTCATTGTGAAGATTTCTGTTAGCTATTTTTGTGTTGCTTGGTCAGTGCCACACACACCGCTGCACACTTTACAAGCCCTTACACTGCATGATGTGCTTCATTGAGCGCAGATTCTTTCTCCTGCCTATGCCCCACTCCAACTTTCTCACAAAAAGAGATCTGCAATAGCATATGTATACAAAAGTTGCTCCTGCTGTGTAGGAGTAACAGCAGCGTTTTACCAGAAGATTTGTTAGGGCCAATCTGTCCCCAGTCTCTTCACACACTATAAATAGTTCCCCTCTCTTTTATCCCCAGATATTGTTTTCCCCATAACTAAATGATGTGAATAAATGTTGGATTGAACTCTTTAACCATCTGGTCTGGCTGTAGGTCAGTGATTCCCAAGCCAGAACTGTGACTTTGGTGAAGTAATAGCATTTTAGACAGCTTGTGAACCTAACAATCCTCAAATGCAGGACTGGGATCATCAGTGTGGCAGCAACACCAGTGCCCAAAAGCTCTGGGACTGCTGCTCTAGTGTTCTGCTCTGTCTGTGATCTCTCCTAGATGCTGAAGATCTGTACAAGCGGCCACTGACTTTGGAGGACCTGATTTGTTACAGCTTCCAAGTGGCAAAAGGGATGGAATTTCTTGCCTCCAGAAAAGTGAGTTCATTCAAACATCATGGGTATCTGACATGAAGAAACCCAAATAGCTTAAGCCTGTGTAATCTGTTATTTGATTTTGTAGTAGTGTTGGAGATCACCTTAGCTCTAGTGGTTAAGCAGTCAGTAGCACTGAAGGAGCTCTGAAGGAACATCTGTCCTGTTCTGGGCTAGGAAGGTGTGACTACAGACTGTAAGGCCATTCACAGAACTGACTCAAGCAGATGCAGAAAGCTTATGTGGAAGGGTTCTGGTGTGGCCAGTAAAGTGCTGCTGAATAAGGGGGAGGGACTACACAGCTGTTTGTTTAGCTTGTTATGGTGGTGTCAGTTATGGTGGAGACTATCAGCAAAGCTAGCATATCTTTTGATAGGAAAAGAAAGTACATTTGTAACTGTGGAAAGACTTCTTTTTTATATGTATTACACATACCAAAGTGTGAACAAAATTGAGAGCTTGGATTTAGCACAAAGCTACATGGGTACACACACAGAAATTACATGAGCAGCAATTGCCTATGTGAAATGACCCTGTTCTCACACATGCTCATAGGACTGCATTTGCAAGTGCAGCTCCTGCTGCTTTTTGATCTCTCCCAAATTTGCCAAACAATAATTAACTGGAAAATTGCACTCCCTTAGTCTCATCATTACTATGAACATCTTTTCATACAGAAAAAACCTGAAGATGAACTGCAATACTTAGTTTGTTCCTCAAGTTATTTTCTCCCTCTCTTTAACCTTCTCACAACAAAAACACCTTTATCTGTCCATCTCCAAAGGAGGTCTCGTGCTTTCAGCCCTAGCTGTGACCCGCTGTCCAGGCAGACCCCCTGATGTTGCCTCTCTTCATTCCCTCCCAGTGCATCCATCGGGACTTGGCAGCAAGGAACATCCTTCTTTCTGAGAACAATGTGGTGAAGATCTGTGACTTTGGGCTAGCCAGGGACATTTACAAAGACCCTGACTATGTTCGGAAAGGAGATGTAAGTGGAAAAAACCTAAAATGCTAATCTCAGACCTTTATTCTCCTAGGACTTAGCAGATTGTTAACAGCAGTTCTGGCAATGTGTTGTGTCTTTTGCATTCGTAGGCAAGACTTCCACTCAAATGGATGGCTCCAGAAGCAATTTTTGATAAGATTTACACAACACAGAGTGATGTATGGTCTTTTGGAGTTCTGCTATGGGAAATATTTTCTCTAGGTAAGAATGTTTTTTTTCCTCCCAGCTGATGACTCTATGGTTACTATGAGGAACTTCTGACAAAAGATAATAATGTGATGTCATGTTTCTATTTCAGTTAGTACAATTGCACAGTGTATCTGGTGTAAAATAAAGTCAACAAGAACTCCATCTGGCAAAGTGCATGAAAGCAGTGCATACAGGGGAGCAGGGGCAGGAACCAAACAAAATCTAAAATCCTGGACTTGACATCTGTAATAACTGTAACCAGCAGAGCACAGAGATAACACAAGCCTCAAATACTCAAGAATGAAATATTTCTTTGAGAGCAATGAAGAATTTTCCCCATCAAACTGTATTTTCCCTTAAGCTCTCTGCGTTAGGAAACCACGCAGCCCAGAGGTTGCAGAGGATTGCACTGCTGCTGACACAGTGGTCTGATGTTGCTCGTGGCAGACCAGGAAACCAGGAGGAGTTTGCCCACATTGCATTTTATCTCAGTCTATTATCTTTCCCACAAAAACTAAGTAAGATTTTAAGTAAGAAAAATGAACTGGCAACAGCTGCCATCAGGTTGACGTGAGAACCAGTGCTAGGCTCTGCTTAAATCATTTTGGCAGCAAGCAGGTAGAATGCATACATTTCTGCCCATGTCATTTGCAAGCCACAAAATTTTTGAAGGGATGGCAATACTGTTCTTAATATAGATTTAATCTTCTGATGGTGTTAGAAGTCTCAGCTTCACTGAGACCTGGTTACTGTCCAGCAGATAAAGCCCAGAAATGTAGACAAGCGGTCTTACAGGGAGTTGGATTTTGCTGCTCTCAAATTCTCTTTACAGAGTAGCAAGTCTTGTTTTCCTGAGGGAATTTAGGAATGTCAGCTCTGCCTTCTTAATCAGCATTTGCAGACAAAAGAAAACAAGCAGAATTGTCAACTTAAGCTTCTGAATTTGAAAGCAAACTGTAATACCCTACTATCTTTGGTCCATGGATCAGTTGCAATCAGTGATTAGACTCAAGATGCCAAGTCCAGATCTGGATGCAAAGTCCGGAGGTGTTTGTAACTCAGAATTTATTCAGGGTTGTTTGCAAAGAACACAACCTGATTTCAGTCAAAATCTTTGATTTGGACTTTTCTTTATTTTATATCACCTTGCAAAAGGAAGTTCACACTCAGGTGGTTAAAGCAAGTGGCAGGTGTTGCTTTCCCCCAGCCTAGCTCTTTTTATTTACAGCTTTGTTACTTTGGTGTAACACTTCCAGGGCTCTGTAACAGGATGATGCTGTGTGTGAAACACCACAGAAAGGTGAAACTCTAGAAGCACTGGCAGTGCCCCAGTTTTAACTGAGGGTTTCTGGAGATGCATCAGTATCAGCACACAGAGGCACACACAGGGGGTGGTCTCTCCATTGTGCATCTCCAAGGAACCAAGTGGACTGCACACTGCTGAATGGCAAAGACAGCATTTTACACGTGTCAACTTTGGGTCATTTGGTCTTCAATATCAGACTAATAGAAATCACAGTTTTTTCACTGAAATTCATTTAACTACTTGGGGGAAGAAAAAAAGAAGAAAAAAAAAGCACATATATCTGCTTTCTTTTCATCTTAGATAGCCTGTTTGCTTAATGAAGGTGCTCAGTTGGGACAACAGAGTGTCCTGTTCTGAATGTAGGGAAATCTACCAGCTTCTTCCAAGGGCTGCCATTTGTAGAGCTGCTGCCTTCCCTGTGACGTGGATCCAAACTGCTTTCCTCAGTCCATGGCACAGACTCAAAACCAAGTCATTTTCTCTTAAGAGGGTTTTCATTCAGATCATCCAAGCATGCCTGTGGTTTGGCACCACTCACATCTGCAGCTCACACGATAAATATTTAATTAAGGATTTCTGTCACTGATTGAACTCTCTTACATAAAAGTTTTACAGATATTTGAGAGCCAGGGAAAGGAAAGTTATTTGTCATTGCTACAGGGCATGCTTTAGCTCCCACTTACAACTGCTGCTTTTTACAGGGTCCCACAGACTTAGCACCCTTGAAAAAAATACAGCTTCTGACTAGCAAAATGCAGAGTTGGTTTGGACGTGGGTCCTGCCAGGGTCAGCAGCTGAATGACGCATGATAGGCTTCCTCTTGACAGGCTGGCAGACTGGGTCTGTTTTGGTGGCATACAGGGAAATCAGAACTGGAAAGACCGTGTATTTTAATCTGGGGCTGGGTTTGCATTGAGCTCTGCATTATGTAAATGGAGTCAGCACACCTCACGTCAGGTTGAGCCAGCGATTCCTAATAGATCCTGAAGGCATTTACAGAATGGCAGTGTCCCTTGGAATTTAAATGTGCACTGTTCGAAAGGTAATCAAATGTAATTATGTAAACAAGTAGCGCCTGGTTGTATAACATCAGCATCTTATTATCCTACTAAAATAAAACCAAGATCAAAAGAGTGCTACTATATCAAATGCATGCCACTTCTTTGAGCATTTTGAAACAGATTTCCCCCAAGGAAAACATAATGTTTAGACCTTACACCATATGCCTCAGCCTACATTTCTCCTAAGCTGTCTCAGCATCCCATATCCAAGTTCTGTGGTAGTCTAGATGAAGTATAATGGTAGTGGAAAGGGAGATTTCCCTACTTTTGAGATCTGGACTGCCTTCAGCTAGTAGGAGTCCAGCAGTGGTCAAAATATAAACTAACAAAACATTTTGCAGTCATAATTCAAGGCAGTTTACCATTGCATTCCCTGTACTTGGTCTCACCAAAATATTGCAGTTGCTTTGATCAGTGATGTATAGGTAACTCAAATTGACTGACTTACTTGATTTACTGAAGGAACTGGGGCTGTTCAGGCTGGGGAAGAGGAGGCTGAGGGGAGACCTTATTGCTCTCTTCCAGTAACTGAAAGGTGATTGTAGCGAGAGTGAGGTTGGTCTCTTCTCACTGGTGACAGGACGAGGAGAAATGGCCTCAAGTTGCGCCAGGATAAGTTTAGGTTGGATATCAGGAAACACTTCTTTACAGAAAGGGTTGTTAACCACTGGAATAGGCTGCCCAGGGAGGTGGCTGAGTCACCATCCCTTAAAATCCATTTGGATGTGGTGCTCAGGGACATCATTTAGCGGAGGGTTGTTAGGGTAGTATGGTTTGGTTGCAGTTGGACTTGATGATCTTTAAGATCTTTCCCAATGTGAGCTACTCTATGATTGTATGACAGATCAGATGGAATTCTCCATCCTTCCTCACGCAGTTCCACTGCCTTGTCTTCAAGGTCTCAGTCCCAGTCGACCTATACAAAGACAAGCTATGGACAGGTCAGGAGATGTGCAAGTGGCAGTTTAGTAGGTTGGACAACCGTCAGTGCTTCCAGACCCTATACCTATCCATGCCATTTTCTTAGTTTAACTGTGGATAAACTGTGCCATAGTGCCTATCTGTCCGCTTAATTGGAGAGATTATGAGAGCTGATGGAAGCTTGTTTAGAGATCTTTGACCAATGAGTGATGCCATGTAAGCTGAACATTACATTAGCAAGTTATTATGATCATAATGACAGAACAAAGACAAAATTAGGAAGGAAAATCAAGATGCAAAGCAGAAATAGCTTTAGGGAACACTGTTGACACTGTGATCTGATACTTGCACATCAAGGAATGTTCTGTGCCTCCAAACTTTGAATGTCATCAGAGCCTATTTGCTGTGTTGAGCTGCCCTCTTATGGAGTGCCCTGGACTTCGATCCCTGCATTGTGTTGCAGATTGAGTGATCAGGTTCACAGAATAGAATAATTCTAGGAATAGTCACATTCTGGCATGCTCTTCTCTGCTTTCCTCCAAAAGATTTCTGCTGTGCTTGTGGTACCTCCAAGAGCAAAGCACTTGGTGATGTTTCCAAACTAGGGGAGAAATTACAGGAAATAAATACATAGGAATGCTGTAGACAGTAAATGATATACAGATTCCTTGAGGGCTGGATGCAGATCCAGATTGTATTCAATCCTCTTTGCTAAGAGTTGATTAAAGTTTCTTCCAAATTCACCATCCTGCCTCTAAGATGCCAAAATGAGAAAGACAAGGGCTGAACTACAGGTAGAGCTTTTGCTGAGAAGAAAGGGAAGAAAACATTACAGATCTTTCAGGTTTGTCTCCAATAGGTTAAGTAATTTTTCAAACTTCAGTACAGACATCTCTTGAATTTTACCTATGAGGTTCAGATTACTCAGATGCCAGGGTACTTCCACAAATCATATGTCTGCTCCTCCTATTTGTGGTGCATTGTAAAGTGTAGGTGTTATAAAACAATGATCACAAGTTCTGATAAGCCCTTTTTCTCTAATTGGTTGCAGAGAACAGTACATTCAATTAATGCATTTTCCTCTGAAGAAAAACGTTTATTTCTCTTCTGCCATGTTTTACCTTGGAGTGATCCACCCTATATTACAGATTCAGAGCAGACTGTGTGACTGAAACCTCTAAAAAGAAAGAGTGAGTCTGTAATGGGTCACCAACTGAAACGTTTAGACAGTGGTTACAACCCCTTCTTTGCTCCAGCCTCTTTCACTACAAGACTCCAGACGATCTCATTTCTCAGCGGATGTCACCAACTCGTGTTTCATTCACTGAGCACCCCCTTACATTTCCCACCAGGTGCCTCTCCGTACCCCGGAGTGCAGATAGACGAGGACTTCTGCCGACGGCTCAAGGAAGGAACCCGGATGAGGTCACCAGAATATTCTACTCCAGAAGTGTAAGAGCTCCTGGCTTTGTACTGAGAAATGCTGCACGTCATTTAAGTATCACAAAGGAGATTATAATAAGTCTGGAGGAGGAAGGGGACCTTCTCAGATGATGGTTGTATTTTGCATTTTGTTTTCAGTAAACATCGTAGTTGAGCATATGTTGGATCTCCTGATAACAGATGAATGCTAGTGAAAGGCCAAGTCAGCTCAACCTCTGCCAACAAGATGAACAGATCTCCCTAAGTTTGTTGTAGTTTGTGAATGTAAACTCAGAAAACTGTTGTGTGCTGGCACCCATAGCTATGACTTATTTCAGCAACATCAGTAGGCCTGTCAGTCAAATCAGTCTAAAGCTAGGTGAGAATGAAAAGCCTACAGGCTCTTTTGAAACAACAGATAGATTAAAAAATGTTCCATGTGGAACTAGAGTAGAATTTCAGCACATGGAGATTTGAACACATCTTACTCCCAAACTACCCGAGTGAGGACCAAAACATTCAGTAGCAGAAAAAAAACAGTTTGGATACAAAGATTGTGTCATTCTATTTTTTCAATACCTGTGGTTTTTATCTAGCTACCAAACAATGCTGGACTGCTGGCATGGAGTGCCCACAGAGAGACCCACCTTCACTGAGCTTGTAGAGCGCTTAGGAGACCTTCTTCAGGCCAATGTACAGCAGGTACAGCAACACAAATATTTCTGCAGTGAACATGGACCTATACAAATGTGTGTGTGTGTGGATGTGCCTGTACACAAGTAAAGACTATGCTAAGCAGCAATATTAGATTTGATTTCATAACAAAGGTTACAAGGAAAATGGCTGCTGAAATGGGTAAAGAAAATGTTAATGATTCAGAAGGGGTTATATTTCAAAACTAGGAGTTTATCCATATCTAATAAGAGAAACTTGCAGTACATTAATTTAAATATCGGCTCATTTGCCCCTTAGAGGAACACTGGTGCTTTACCTCACAAACAATTTTAATTAGATTTCAATATAGTAAACTGCTAGTTGGGCTGAACTGTCTCTCTCAAATTCTGAGCTTATGTTCATCAGCGCTCTTAGGAGCTTTAAAAGGATACAGTGTGAATCTCAGAAAGTCAATTACATAATTACTAGTTTCATAATAGTTAACCACTTTCCTTCCTCAGTGAAATCAACCTGATCCACTACGTAATTGTCAATTCACAACTCTCCTCCAGCTCTTTCCTGTTTGTAAATAAATTTAGTGAAGCCAAGTTGAAGAGGGCCCAGTTTGCAATATGAAGAGCTTGTGAGCTTTGTGCTGAAAGTGAAGTAAATTAAGGAGATACAAAATCATGATAAGGGAATAGGGCACTAAAATGGTTCAAAAGCAAAGGAAAATTTGGACAAATAGTTTTAGGGCTTGGCAATTTCTGATGATTTCTGCAGTGATGTAAATGACAATGCGGACCTTACTAATATGTGAACTGAATTCCATTAAACTTGTGGCACCAATTTCTTGTAAGAACGAGGAATAAAATCCTTCCAGGCTTTTCGAAGGACTGCCTCTTCCTAAGCTGCAACTCCTTAAGCTGATAATATGCAGAAAGTCTCCAAGTAGGCAATATTACTTAACCATATTATTTAACCAATTCCAAATTCTGTTAAAATTGTATCAGCCATAAGGACTTTGTGACTTCCTGCTGCTTCCTTCCTCCTCTAAAATTCTTAACTTTGGATTTTGGTGTCCCTAATACTGGCCCCTTGAAATTCCCAGCACAATGACAATGCAGGGTATTGCTTTGAGGAAGGGTAAATCAGTGAAATTCCATTCCCTTTCACCGGGGCAGAACAGACAAGCATCTGGAATGCAGCAGTGATCACAAGGAAATTGCAGCAAACTCACCAAGGGCACTGCTGTGAAAGGCAGCACAGCCAGCTGCTGGCTGCACACCCACTGACCCCTCTGTGCGCCTGGCTCTGCCGTGCCATGTGTGAGGGATGTCTACAAGAGCTGTGAGTGCTGTGAGAACTGGTGGGGCAATAGCTCAGACAGGTGCCTGGAAGAGAAAACAGACCAAACTGCAGATGACCATTGGGAAGTTAGAGAGTTTTCAATCTTTTTATGTCATAGATTATGCAGTGAATAATTTTCCTCATACAAAGCCCTCCACACAGTAAGTGTTGTATAAAGCTGCACATTCTAACTTCTGTGTGTTATGAAGAACATTAAAGATTGCTCTGCAGAAATATACAACTAAAATAAAAAGTAGTCCTTTCCCATTGTGAAGCCCTGTATAATATGGTAACTTTTAACATCTGGGATGGAGTGTAAAACAGCATTTACCAGCTTTGTGTTCTCTTATGCTAATTATTTTATAGGATGGTAAAGACTATATCCCACTGAACATTACCTTGTGTCCTGATGGAGAGCCTAACTCCAAAACTTGCCCCGTGGAGGAAAATTTGAACAACTGTGTTAATCGCTGGAGTGCAGTGGAAACTGGGTAAGAAAAATACATGTCTGAGCACGGGTGTGAAGGAGAGGGAGATCTGATGTAGCTGGGTTGTTCTCACAGTGTGGCAGTTCTAAGTGAGTTGGACAAAAATATTTGTCAGAGCGTTGTTTGTTAGTTACAGGAGATGGCAAAGAAAGACTGGGATGGGGATGGAGCTGTGTCAGGGCTACTAGCTGAGCTACCAGCACCTGCCTGGGCCTCATGTCGCCCTTCAACTTTCTGTCTTCCAGCAGCGGCAGCAAAAGGCGCCCTCTGAGTGTGAAGACGTTTGATGAAGTTTCAGTGGGAAAGGAGAAGGTGATGCATGAGGTGAGCGGGGTGACTGTGTCCTTCTCCACTAGCAACATTGACTGCTTGGCACCAACACCGAACGGTTATCAGAGTGTTTGAAATCTCTGTGGTCAGAAAAAAGGCTTTAAATCGAGGGGAATATTTGGCCCAAGCATCTCACACACAGGGCTGTGTGACAGCAGAGGAACCTGCACTTACTTTGACAAATAATTTGAAGAGAAGCTCCTGTGTGAGTAGACTGACGTTGGTCAGGCTGCAGAGCTTTATGTTACAGCCAGACAGGAGCATATCTCAATATTGGTTTGATTTTTTCCCCATAAGAAAATGGCAGCTTACTGAAACTGAGCCTTTGAAGAAAATGTCCCCAGGGGATTCTGGCTGGCTGAACCAGGCAACAGCTGGATGGTGAGGGGGTCAGTTCAGGAGGAACCTGACCAAGATTCAAATACTGGCTTTCCTTGATTCAAAGGGCTTTACCTTGCAAGTTCCCCAATCTAGGTGGGCATTTTTATTGATAGCTTAATGGTTCTGCATGTGGGAGGGTGTTGAAAGATTTCATTTTCACTCCAGTGGAAAACAAAGGCTTGTTTTATTGCAGAATTTGTTGCTTGGCTTGTTGGCTTCCCCTGAAATTAAGGTTCTGGGATGGAGGTTTTTTCTATTTTTTTACTTTCTTATTTAAACAAAGAAAACAAAACAAAACTCATAAATTTACTCAGGTAATAATCGGCTGCAGCGCATCCCGCTTGCCTCAGTGACAGATCCTGTGCACTGAAGAGAGACGTTTGTAATGCATGTTTGAAGCAGGTAGAAAGAAGAAGAAGTTGGGTAGAAATGGAAGAAGGCATGCACCTTCAGGAGCAGGAAGAGAAAAGAAGAATGTGAGCAGCTACCTGCTGCTGGGGACAGCCCAGCACCCCCAGTTAGTGCTCCCTTGGGAGCACAGATTTGATGCTCATTATTCCCTAGCATTCTGCTGAATGTAATTTCTGTGCCTTTATCAGTGCCTCTTCAGGGATTAGGGGCTTAGAATTTCCTCTGGTTCCTGCACCTCCTTCTGACGGATAAAGATTTGTTCCTCAGAATCATGTGGAGACATTTCATAGATAGAGCTGGTGTCAGTAAGAGATTTTTGCTGCCAGCACAAGTGTTACTTTCCTAAATGTTCTTTCTTCATGGCATTTTAAAGCAACTCCTTACATGGAGGGAGAAAAGTTTTTTTTTAAAAAAAAGGGTAATACACTAACAGATTGGAAGTGAATGTGAGATATCATTGCGAATCTTCTGAAGAAAATTATGGTATGATCTACTTTTGGACTAAGTAAATGCACTTGAATTACTACAATTATCTTAAATACCAAGGCATTAATGCTGATTAGGTCATTATTTGAAAAAGTTGCCCAGGAACTCTAAAACTCTACCACACCTTCCATTCTGTTGATTTTATGTAGTATCTTGTTAAGATTATTTTTTTTTACAATTTCTCTGTAAGAAAATTGAAAAGGAACACTGAGATAAATTGTTTCTAGAGCATGTTATTTTAAGGGGAAATAATAAAGATAAAAGACAGAGAGAAATCCAGGCTAAATAGCTGCATAATCAGGACCAGCTGGCTGAAAACTGATAATAGTGGCCCTGATAAGAGAAAATTCAGAAAATGGACTTAATTTCCTATACCAACTGGACATATCTCTGTGTTAAGCATGTCACTAGATAGCACGCAACTGGAAGTTTTGATGCAAACATGTGCCTTGCAGGTTGATGGCTGCTGTCCAGCTCTCCCTGACAATGCCTGTGATCTTACAAATATGCAGAGAAGCTGGTAGCTCCTACAATAGTTCCAGCACACAAAAATCAACATATAACACTGCAGTATCACATCTACAGGTGGTCACCTTCCTGTTAGTACCTCCCTGATAACCACGTGGACAGGAAGCTCCAACCTCTGCAGGCCACAGTGAAGGAGAAATTGGATTCTCCTGCCCTTGTTCTGTCTGCTTTGTAACTGGAGACGATTTTATGAGGTGAAGTTCTGGGCCAAAAGCTGTATCGTCACAAAATGAAAGAGCTAGAATTTGCTGTTCCTACTCCTTGTCTTTCCTTCTCCACTGACTTCAGTGCTGGTTTAGCTTGATTTCCCCACACTCTCCCCTGGGTATACAACTTCTAATTTCAGAGTCCTCCATGTTGACACTCTGCTGATGTTCTCCTCCTTTTGCTCTCCAGGAGTCAGACAGCGGGATGGTGTTGACATCAGATGAGATAAAAAGTCCAAAGAGGCTGGAAATCCGCTCCTGGCCTTACGGGATCATGGCACTCGCGTGAGTACTTTTGATGCATTTCTTTAGAAGCCAGTGTTCCATTCAGAAAAATGCTTCCAAAATTTACAGTTTTGTTTCTGGTTTCAAAAGGAAAATTTTTACACTTCATAAACAAGCTAGAAGGAGAAGCAACTCTGGATTTCAGTACTGCAACAGAAAGGTCATGGTTAACGTATTTTAAGATCAAGAAAACTATGACATGAACTGTTTCCAGAAAGAAGTTGAACATAAAAGACACTTCTGGGTCTCTGGAAGGGATGCAGCATTGTTGTATTGTTACTACAGGAAGGTTAATTAACGTGAAAAAAGTTGATTCTTGTGATAAAAATGAAAACCCATTTCATCAGCTTTGAACACATGATGTCTCATCAACCAACCGAACTCCTTTTGCCAAAGTAAGCCAAGTTGCTTTGCAATTCTGAGTCACATTCAAAAACAGAGGAGCACTCTCTAGTGAAGCTGGTTTCTCTTGTTCATGCTCTGAGTCTGCTAGGACAGAATATTCTGCTCATGACAGATGATAAGAGCAAAATAGCTTAAGACATACACCTCTACTTTGGCTTTTTTCCTGACTCCTTCGTAGTGATAGAACAAAGTTTGGAAAATGTGATTGATTAATCCAGAGAATAACGTTTATTATTACTCTGGTAACAGGGCTCTATCTAATTTTAGATGCACAGGGCTGGCACCTTTGCAATTGGTGGGATGTGGGAAACATGAAGAAGGAATGTTTAGTGAAGGATAGTTTAAGCACTACAGATTTTTGTAAGGTGCACTTACCAGTGCTGTGAGTTCTTCATTTGCTGTTTCACAGCTGTCATTGACAGTCCTCCAGAGAAGACTTTAATCCTAGCATCTACATAATCCTATGAATTGCATTTTTGTTGTTTAGTTTACAAGTAGAAGCTGTGCCAGTATTTGCTGTATGTTATCCATTCATGGTACAGTCCATCAGAGAAGAACAAAAGCAGATGATTTCTTAGCTAGCAGTTCTTTCTGTTTCTGTAAGAGTCATGCAGAGGCAGGAAGCAAACCTAGCAGTGAAACTGGTCTGCACTTGTACCTCTGTTAAAATGAATAATAGCAATAATAATCCATGTACTGATTCAGATGCCAACATGTAGAATTTTAGAGACAAGTAACTCAAAATATTGTTAAAAAACAATTCCAGAGCAAAGTATTCCATACTACTCAGTTAATTAAGCTAATTGCAGTTTAATTGAACGGCCTAGAGTTTCCTCTGAAATCCGTTGATTAGATTTTTGTTGGTTTCCTCTGCATTAAACTCAAAGATTTTTCCCATCAGAGCAATTTCTTGTTTTGCGTTGAGTCACAGTTTGTCACATTAAAGAGAGACAACAGATGTAAAAAAGGCTATCACAATTCCTGTGTAGTATGGGGGAGTTGACATGAAAGTGCACAGTGAGAATATAAAAGTATTTCAAAGGAGGTATAACTCTGAAGAAGCTTGCCTTGTCTTTTCAGACCTTAAAACTATATATTCTTGTATGAATGCTTGATGGCAAGACACAAGCAGAAAGTAGAAAAGGGGGAAGGTTGCCTAACTAAAGGTAAAGAGCCGTGCAGCATTAGCAGGGAGCATTCAGATGCTGCAGAACATGAGTGTGCCCTTAGAGCCTGCTGCTCAGCAGCACTGTGCAGCACTCACACAGCTGGCACAGGACTAGCAGAGGTTGGGATTAGGGTTCACGTATCTGTCCTACGCACACGCTGAGGGGATTTCTGCACAGTGCAGTGCATTGCTATGGAAACCAAATGGCACCAGCTCTAAAAAAGAAGCTGCTCAAATGTCAGGAACTGTATTGCCACACTACTTTACCTGCTGTGATTCAACTCTCTGCTGCATGATGTCATGCTGACGCACGCAACACACACAGCCTCCCCGGTAAAATCTGACTGGGAGATGTCAGCCACCTCTGACTGCACTTCCCCTACTGCTTTTCCACCCTTGGATATGAGGGAACTGGGGAAAAGCAAGGTTCTCTCTTCCCCTTCTAAGCTTTCTGCTGAGAGATCAACATCCAGCCAGATGCAGAAACACAGAAATCCCCTAGCAGTCTGTTTTCTCAAGATTTTCAGGAAATCCCTCTGAGCTGCTGTCAGGTGAATGGGAAGATGTTTTTCCTTGGCCAGTCCTTCCACTGAGTGTTTGAGGTCCAGCTATTTTGCCAGCTTTTTTCTTCTTTTAACCTTGCAGACTGCCATTGGCACAAAGAACTTTTTTACGTAGTTGCAGAGCATCTCATCATCCTCTCATTTGAGACATGACACTCCTCGCCCCCCTCCGCTGCTAACTTGGAAAAGAAAGCCTCAAAAACATGTGGAACGGTCTTCAAATATCTAAGAAAGGTCAGAAAGGGATTCTGGTTTAACAAGGGAGATAAAGTCATCCTTGTTAATTGTGTGTCTCCCTCTCAAAAACAGTTACCCTGGATCCTTTTCAAACAGTCTTTCTTTTATAAAACAAAACTGTTCAAAGGCTTAGCTGTTTTCTGAACCAGGGTGGCTGCATTTATTATTTTGCCAAAACCTTGTTTTTTTCTTATCTATCTTCTATATTTCTATTTGTCATATCATTCCTCTGACAAGTTTAAAATTTGGCAACACTACACACCATAGGACGAATCTCCAAGGTGAATCTGATGCTCTGGGCCTGGGACTACTGTTGAGTTGCACTGACCATATCTGAGCCTTAAGTATCTTAGTATGCTACTTAAGTACACTGCTGCAGGGCAAAGCTGCAGAAAGGACAGAAGGACTGACCAAGACAGTGGCACTTCAGCTGACACCCAAGGAAGTGCATCCAGCCCAGAGGGATTTAATGATGTCTCTGGTGTCAGGCTTCATCTCACAGTGTTAACAGGGTACTGCCTAGCACTGCTTTCCAGTTCTCCCTGAGACTCTATAATCAGGTTATTGTTTAAAATTACAACTTGATGTCTGCTTAGCTGTCCTCCCTCCACCCTCACCCTTCTTGCTCTCCCAGCCCCAGTTGCTCCATAATGCCATGTCTGGCACTGGCCAGGGTCCACGAGGCTCAGCTGACACTGAGCACTGATGTTGCACTCAGGGCCCTTTGCTGAGGGCTCTGCCTTTGTCAGAGCCCAAGTGGACCTAAGGCAGGTCACCAAGATAGGAACAAAATGTGGCTGTGCAGGTGCATCAGACATTTATGTCCAGATGCAAGGTGTTCAACAGCAATGCAGCCGAGCTGGTATTTTCTGATGTAACAGAAAAATGAGGCATGGAAATACTTCTACTCCACAGCAGAACTTAGTTTCAACAGATTTTTCACCTGTGATGAGCACACTGAAACAGCAGATGTAGTATCACACTATATGCTTGTAGTGGCAGGGACTTCAGTTTGGTTCTAACTGCAGTGCTTTTCATCTCACCACCTTCTGAGTGCTGAAGCTAAAGTCAAAGGCTGGGTGGTTTGAATTTCAGAGAGGTGACCAGCCTTGTGAGGGGGCATACACTCAGAGAGTGGGTGATTTTTCCTGTTAGAACTTTATTCTAGCTGTGCTTTGTGGATAGAAATGCTTCAAAACAATGAATTCTTGATTTTAATCCCTTGAGCATTCCTTGCCAGCAGCTACTGATTGCAGTGATACAGCCAGAGGAATCCCAGGAGTAAATTCTGTTGAGGGTGTCTTAAAGCGAACAGCAAACAGACAGCAAATAGCTATTAGAGGAAGAAATAACCCTTTCATTTCTTTCCACGCAGAAAAAGCAAATTAATCTCTAGTACCCTGTGCCTCATCAGACACCTATGAAAGCTGTTATAGGACCATGAAGCTCCCACATCTCATTATGAGATGCAGCCAGGAGACAAACTGCTCTGCTTGGCAGTGCCCAGCGCACCTCTCAGCTTTCCCAAAGCACAGCGTCCAAACAAGCCCAGGATTTCCACATGATGCAAGAGTCTATTGGTTTCTCCTACAGAGGGCAAGATACTTGGGCACTTGCAAAGCAATAAGAGCAGCTGGGGATAAGTGCTGTCCTTGTGCTGTAGACCTCAGGGACACACAATTTTCTCACAGCACCTCCCTCCGTGCTCCTCTTCGAGTCACTGACCCTGAGATTTGAGCTGTTAGAAACTGCTGCCCTCTGATACAGACACAAACAGCCCCACTGATGATTTGCCAGCTTCTTGGCAACTGCAGTACGTTTCTAACTCTGACCAAGAAGCCTGGTTCTTACAGAAAGGTGAAAAATTTTCATCAGTTCTCTCTGACCCTCTCATTATTACAGCATTACCCTCTGTGGTATTTTCCAAACAACTTTGACACCTCTCTAGAAAACTTTAAAAAAGTATTGTGGAAGATTACTTAATACTCAGGCTGTTTTTCTTCACCTGGTTTCACTCCTGGACTTTTCAAACTTCATCGATAGCAGAAAATCTGACATAGCACAGTTAAAATGGGTACTGAAAAGATCTCACTACCCACACCACTGCACCACACTAAAAAGCACTTGTTCAGGTTGTGTCTCGGCCACGGGATTTGCTGACAGCACTGGAGCCTCACACAGCCCCTTCATGTGCACAGTTGGCACCAAGGCTCGTGGTACAAACACACTCACAGACATAGCAGGCTTCCAGTTAGTGGCACTGGGAGCATGAATCCACATTAGCACCAAGTCTATCCTAGTTTTGGTTTTAAATCTGACAAACAGAGCACTAGCTCCAGGCTCAGTGTAGAAACACATCCCAAAGTGTTGCAGGATTTTCTGGTTGCTATGAATGTCATTTGTTGCTACCCATTTGCATTCTTCTCATCTTTCACTACTGGTTCCTCCAGGGCTTTCATAGTGTTTGTACTTCTTCCATAAACCTCCCTAATTTGCAGGTGTCTTTCTGAAAGAGAGGAGTCAAGTGCTGTGCCCTGCAGTCTCAGTGCTGCCAATGAAATAAGGCTGAAGCCAGCTCACTGCATCTGCAGTGTTTCCCCAACCAGTACTGCATACAAGTGTGCCTATTATGAAAGAGAGTCCTTTTGGTTACAAAATCAGTTTAAGGATAGGAAATGGCAGCGTTCAGGTTAGATTTTTAGATTTTCATCTTTCCCTGTGCCCTGCCACAAACAGTACATGTTCTGGGAAGGACAGAAAAGTTTTCAAGTTGCTCTTCATGTAAAATGTGATCAGCCTGGATCAGTGGGCAGATGTGTTTTACTGATGTCATACCTCATCCTCACTGTTTTTCACCGACTGTCACAGTGTTGGTGCATCTCATCTTCACCATGTTTCACTGAGCATCATAGTGTTCACATTCCTCATCCTCACACTGTGCTGGGGGGAGAACACTGACAGCTGCACGGAGCTGGATGGCTCAGCCACAGTGCTGAGCAGGTTTACCCAAACTGAACGTCTCCTTTGTCACTGCCTGTGCTGCAGTTTTCCAAAGTTAGGCAAAATCAGCCTAAGGAGATACCTTTGGGGCAGCGTAATACCAACCCAGCAGGACTGAGTCAAATAATGGCTAGTTTCTAATGAAATTATTTAATTGCATATCCACTACTAACTTTTGTAGCTATTGTGTGATTAATCTAATGACTTCTATCAGAAAATATTTATCTGTGGGCTCAGGGAGAATTGTGCTATCTTATCCAGGACAGTACGTCTGGCTCAGGGCACAGAGGGGTTTTTGCTCCCTGAGGCAGAGCACTGAGCGCTGCCAGGGGCAATGCATAGCTGCACTGACTGCTGTGCTGTGGCAGTTCACATGCAAAAAATGAGATTTCAAGGAGAGACAGAAAAGGGAAGCTGCAGTCTGGTTTGCCAATATACAGTCCAAGCATGTGTACATTTCTCTGTGTCTGAGCACAAACGGAGCAGATTGGAGTGACAGTAAGCATAGAACAGAAAAGGGAAAAATGCAAGACTCTTGCATAGCTTCAATTTAGAAAATGCATTTAGAAAGATAGTTTCTAAAGTTAATTGCATTTTGCTCTGCAATAACATGGCTAATGACAAAATTTGCTTCCAACCTCGCCCATCAGCCTTCTGCACTCCTTGAGATATCCCTTGGCCTCAGGGGCAGAAACCCAACAGGAACACTTGTTGGAAGGCTACGTGGTTCTAAAAGTTTCCCACTGTGTAGCCAAACTAACCCCTAACGTTTCTGTTCTCCAACACCCTGAACTACACAGACTGGGGCCAAGTTACACAGGTACTTCCAAGCTTTGCCTTCTCCAACAACAGCTTTAATACCTGGCAAATGAGAAGCCAGAAATGTAGACTGTGAAATCAGAGCATGGCATGTTTCTGTTGAAGCTCTCAGGGTTACTATTTATTTTAGAATTTGGTTTCAGAGCCCTGTGTAAGTCTAAGTGCACAATAACATTGGCTTTAATCTATAAACTGTGTCTTTGCACTTAAGAAGTCATAGGACCCAGATTTATTCTGGATGTGCAGGAGGTGGTGGGCTGGCTCTTACCACTCTGATGTCTGTGCTCAGCTCCTCAAGACCCAACTAGGGACACGAACATTCTGTGTGAAGCCAGCCCTGCATGCTAACATCAGGCCAGTCACAAAGCAGCCAGTCTCCCATTGCAGCTGGCTGAGACTGCAGCAATCTGCTCTGCCTGAGTCTGGCTGCAAGCCTATTATTCCTAGCTTCGTGCACTGGGATGCACACAGCATCACTTGCTGCACAGTTCTCTAAGAGGGACCTACAGGGATGGATAATTTACAGATGGAGAGGCTCTTACATGTGACTGTGGATATATTTCATAAAGTAGTATTCTACTCTACCAATGCACTGCGCCCATGACCTTTCCAGAATTAGCAACATTTTAAATGGAGGCATTGGCTCTAATTCTGTCGCTCAGACTGAGAATATTTGCAGCTGGTAGGAAAACCAAAGCACTTGCTAAGTTCCAGATTCAGAGGCAGGGTAATACAAGTCCTGGAGTCACAGTGGCATCACCTGGCAGGTCTGAGCACAGCTGCATGCTGCAATTCTGTCCTGCCCAGAACCAGCTGCTCCTAGGATTGATTGATAGAGTGTTGCACCTGCACAATACAACAGCTCCTGATCTACTGCTTCCACTGCTCATTGTACCTGCCCCTGGTCTTCAATTTCTGTATCTGTCTCTTTGCTATTGCTTTATGTTCGGTGGAGCAGGAAATGGTTTCACTTTCTTTGAGAAACATTCAACACTCCCAGTCTCTGATCACCTGCTAGGGACTGCAGTCACTGAAGCAGTACAGATAAAATAAGTGTAGTGAGTAACACAATCATGTGATGGCTGTTGACTATTTTGGTTTGATTTAGTGTGATTATGAAGTAGCATTACTCTCCTTTAAACAAATCTGTAATACACACTGAAAGTGCTTGAGCACTGCCTAGTTCTGAGTCTTCCCAGGCAACTCACAAATCAATCTGAGCCAAGATGTGCAACGTCACAACCAGTCTGTGAGTGACTTACCCTAGAGAGGTGCATGGTAATGGTGTGTAAGCAAAGTGAAGAGGTTCAAAAGCCATTCTCAGGTTGGGATTCTTACCAGAGCCATTCCTAAATTATCCAACTCTCTTCTAAGAATTCCTCAAATGGAAGAAACCAGGTTTACCAAAATAGTTTTTAAGGCAGCCTACAACACAAGTACCTTTTTTTCCACAATGCTTGCTGTTCCTCTGGGTCACCTTGTGATACAAATTCTCCCTTGAGTTCTTCCACTTTGGACACTGAGGTTGCTCTGGTGATGTAAGCTGCTTCTCTTGCAGCACCTGGATCGCCTGTAATAGGAGGAGATAGCAGAAAATGAGACTTTTGATAGAACTGGTTACAGGCCAGCAGCTGTCACACTGAGCATCACTACCACTTGCTAGTGTGCAGCTCAGGAATTTTACTGGGCTAGAGAACATCAAAGAGATCTTGCCCTACAGTGCTTTTAGTATCATTGTAAATTGGAGTCTGATATGATTATTCATCATTTCATCCTTTATTACAGTTAAAGAAAAGTCATAGTCATAGTCTTCAGTTCTGATTTCAGAAAAGTCAAATATCATAAAGAGAGTATTACTGCATGTATAGGACAGGTGCATTTATAACTAAGACATATAGAGTGCACTGAAACATATAAGGCTAACCAGAGAGAGCACTGGGACTCCCAACTTTACTCCTGAATCTGCTTACAATACACCTAGTTCTTAAAAAAAACCAACAACTTACATAGTGCTGCAGTGTTAAATTGAAATGCTTTATGTATGTAAATGTTTATAAATAATTTTGACCATGAGTAACACAGATAAAACCCATGGATCCATATATCATACTGCTTGTTCTCAACAGGCGGCGAGCTGTTAGCAGGAGCAAAGAGTCCATCTTATCTGACCATGAACGTGAAGCTGTCAAATACCAGCCCGCAGTGCAGGTTGAAGAGGACACCATGGACTTCCCACTGGAAGACTCTGTGCTCCTTCCTATGGATCCAAGCCTGGAGTGCCACAGCCCCCCTCCGGATTACAACTCTGTTGTGCACTGCTCTGCACCCCCAGTGTAACCAGCCCAGCCTGGTGCAGGGCCTTTGGTGCTTCATTTGGCCACGATGGATTCCATAAAAAGGCTGTGTGCCAACCAAGGGGGAACCCAGCAGCACACTGGTTCTTATGTTTCATCTGGCACATCTCTGATGTGAGCAGAAAATCTTTAAGAGCATCCCTTCTCTATCTTTAAAGGCCTATTGCAAAATATGTGGTAAATTAGAACACATATAAGAATCGTTAATGGAAGCTGTAACCCAGAACTGCTCCCATCCTTCCTCCCTTAGCAGGGATTGTTTATTAACCATATTTTACTCCATAAGTCACCAAGAGTCACCCCTCACGATAGCTGTGACAATACTGATCCCACTGGTCCTGCACCCATCTTAGGGGTTGCTTGGTGTGAGGCTGGAAGGTATCAGCTGATAATTACAGCCATAAACTCTAACGTTTTGTGTTTGAAAAGAATCCAAAAATTAAAACATTTCTCTTAACTTGGGAACTCACCTTCAGTAAATGTTTCTGGAATATTTTGAAATCCAAAATATGTTTATTACAATTTGTGATCTGACAATTTCACTGCCAAGAGGATCCACTCCCCAAACGACACAACAGAGAAGCAGCCAGCATCCATGTATGTATATATGTATGTATAGATACATATATATATGTATGTATATACATATATATATATATACAACAACACTGTATGTATATATACATACAGTGTTGTTAAATGTGATGCCCTGTTTTCCCTCCTTGTTCAAACAGCAACTTCTTTAACATTATGCAATAGGGAGCCATGATGGGGATGCATCTGCAGTGATTGCAAGGCATCAGCACTGCATTAAGTAAGAACCTTCAGCTCATGCAGGCGGTGTTTCCCAGCACACGAGCACATCTGTGTGAATGTGCATAAAATACTCATCCACAATATGAGAGTGACACATGAACGCATAAATAACCTTGAGGCATCAGCAGTGTAGCAGCATTTCTCTGTTTCCTTTCTGGCCACAGATTATTTAAAATTGGGGAAAAAAAGCTCTTCCTTTGAATTCTATGGCAGATGCCCAACAGTTTGATCTTGGGAATACCAGCCCATTCTCAGCTGTGAGCATATGTAAAACACACTTGTCTCCAGCTGCTTGCCAAGGTAAATACTGCTACGATCTGCCATGCCTTCTGTATCTAAACCATCCACGAGTGCTGCAAAGATTTTTGGAATCCACTCGTGCCGGTCTGAATGGGTCACAAATTCTCACATCTGAGCAATTCAAAGTGTGTTGTCCTTTTGCAAAAGCGGTGTGCAGCAGGGACTGCTGGCCTACAGGTGTGCACACCAGCTCCCATCCGCACCCCAGCCATCCTCACAGCAACCTCAGAACCAAGCAACTAATCTTTGTCATTTAATGTGCTGGGAAAGATCCAGTGCTGACATTAGAAATCTAGGAAGGGGTAAAGGGAGTTTTCAGGTAGAAAAAGCAAAGATAAAAAAGATGTATGTTGACAGCCAAGCCTATAACTTCCTAAGTTATAAACCCAGACCTGGACATAACTTTGTGCAGTTTATTGCAAGGTCTGCATAACCCTTGCCTTTTCTTTTTTAGAATTGATACTCTAATTAGACTTCTTTAGAGAAAGAAATTAGCTACAAACTAAAATGATTACAAATTAATTCTTTCTAAAACATCCAACACTTGGCAAACAATTATTTTACCTTGGCGAACACAGCCTAACCGCCCTTGCAGCAATGAAGACAATATTCTGGAAGACTGGTTACAGTTGGTTGCATTGAAATAAACAGAAAAAGCCTCAGGTATGATCAAAGGGGAGAAATCCCCAAAGCCCATGCCATCCTAACTGTGAATGCTAAAGCATCTGGTGGAAGGGCTCTTGGGAACCATGTCTTGTTCTCCTCAGCCTCAGATTTGAGCTGTTTAAGAAATCACCTGCAGGAGCCCATGGGCCGTTGCTCATAGTGAGCCTGGCAAATAACTGTGGTCTGTAGTTGCTTTATGGCCATTTTTGCACTTCTTTGTATGTTAGTGTCTATGTATGAGGTAAAGTTGGTCAAGTAACGGAATACTGGGAAATAATTCATCTCATGGGTCACAGAAAACTCACCAGATCAGTTTTTTATGAAATAGGAAATTATCTATAGCTCTGATCAAATAACAGATCACTTATTTGGAAAATAATTTATTCAGGTGGCAGAAAGAAAAAGAAAGGTGCCTATGGTTTGTCTGGCTCTGCTGTTACTGGCATCAATCAGCGTGAAGTGGTTTGTTGTTGTGCCTTGTTGTGTAGCAGAAGAAAATGACAATGTTTAAAAAGCTCTGCTTATAAACTTTGAAATAAGCACACGTAGGAAAAACAAAAAAAGTGCAACTCTGCTCTCAGTTTTAAAAAAGATTGGGAAATGCTGCTGTTTGAAGTGCCTTCTTCCAAGAGAGCCGAGCACACTGCCTTTCCTCCTTAGCAGGGATGAAATGTTTATTTTAAGTTGAAGGTTTTTCCCTCTATGGTAACTGTAAGAAGCAAAAATATTACCTAAAAGTATTACTGAACATATGTGTTTTCTATTTTATTTACTAATATTTTGTCTTTTTCTCTCCTCCCTTAATTTAATTATTGTTCTTTTCTTACAATGATGTATATAATTTACCCAGTAGGAACAAATGTAGTGATTCATTTATATGGTAATATTTGTATTTTAGTCAAAAGATGCGCAGACATAGCAGAGTTAAGGATCTCCACAAAGCATTTCACTGACACTTGCAGGTTGCAGCACCCACTGGTGCCAGCTCACGGCGGCGCTCTGCTGGCCCTCACGTCCCAGCTCTCGCTTGCTTTCCACATCAGTCAGTTTCAGTAAGGAAGCAGGGACCTCCATGATTCCAGCAGATTTATCTCATTCCTGAAAGTGTCACTTTGCAGCTCAAGGCAAAGGGGAGGGATTTCCACTGCTTCTGTTTGAACTGCAGGCTGGTGTATCAGTTAGAGCACCAGAAGGAGCCAAGTTGTCTAAGTGAGGTGATGTTTCATAGTTTTTCAGATGTCTCAGGGATTCTTATTCAGCTCTTGTTCGCCACCTGCCTTTTCTAATCTTACTGAACTCAGTGGGATGGAGTATTGAGAAGTACCTTTGTTTTCCTTAAAGAAGCCCACTGTCCTGTTTTTCTTTTTGTAACTCTGCAGAATTGGGGCAGAGGAGCTTAGAGCTCACAACAAATGTGTTGTCTCCTCCCAGCACCCTCCAGCCATACAGTCTGCCAAAAAGTGCCTTCCCCTGTGCACTGTCAGCAGCCAGGTGGGCTTGGCAGCCTGGGCCCCTACTTCCTCCTTGCTCTCCTTGTTGTCTGTGTGCTGGTATTTACCCATCACAGCTTATGCTTTCCTCTTTTGAGTAAATTCAGATATAGAGCCCATCTCACTGTGGTATTTTGTGCATCCTCCGTTCTTGCAGAGGCTGAACTAGACACACTGAAGTAAGCTTTTTTCCCACATTAAAAATGTTTCCAATATAGGCACAGGAAACTGGTTTACTCTGATGTGCCTGGAAGCATCTCTGTATACTTCTCTGAATGAGAGAAGCTTTTTCACTCTTCTAATTTTTTAATTTTTGGTGTCTGTAGTGAGATGAAGTTTGGTGTCTATCTACGTGAGTCTCACCTTCCTCTTAATGCTTTCTCAATTTGATTTCTCTTTGGTTCTTACAAATTAACCTCATTAGAAGGGATGCCAGGGTGCTGGGCCCACACCATCTGCACAGAATATCAAGAAAGGCCAGATAAAAACGTAAAGTCTTTCTGAATAACAAGCTCAAACAAAAATGCTGACACTTAAACCCCCCGAATGCTGATGATGCAGACAATCACAGCTGCCTGCAGACATAGCTGCTCTGCTTAGACATTTCACTAACATGCTCAACTCTCCAGGCATCCAGCCTGCCATCTACCTAGTGCAACCTGGAGTAGCCAGGCACTTCTTTCCTTGCATTTATGCATTGTATACTGTAAAAATGCTTATCAATGTTAGCTTGTTACTGGCCAGTAAGCAGCTTATGACTTCGCTTCTCAGTGACCCTTCATGTTGAGCACTGGCTCTGCCTTGCCATGCACCATCCTGCTTTACAAATTCCATCTGGCTCAATTCCAGTTGAAAGGGTGTTTGGGACCAATGGTCTCTAGCTGCCACTAGCACCAAATGGGTACCACCAGGACTCAGCAGCAAATAGGAAATAGCTGTACAATAAAGTGAGGCATTATCGTGTGTTCCTGAAAGCAGGAATTGGCCAGGATCACACCTTGGATCTATTTTTTTCTTTTGATAAAGGGAATGGAAAATACAGAAGGTAGCAATGTTTCTTTTGTCCCGTCCTATAGATACTAATGGCCAAGACCTGTGATCCATTTTCCTGGTTTTGTGCTGTGACACATAAAAGAAAAAAGGCAGAAAGAATTTTGGTTAAGTACCAACATAGGTAGTAAAATTCAGGGAGGACTTCTGGATTTGATCCTATCAAGAGTTGGTCACTGTATAGGACATAAAGGTTCAGCACAAGCACTGACTTCGTCCTGTGATGCATGTGTTGGTTTCATACTTTGTTAACACAGACCGGTTCACTTGGACCCCAAGCAAATGCAGTGCCCTAAGGGCATTGGTTGCAGGAAGACCTGTGTGGTGCACAGTGAGCAGTGTTCTGTTGTCCTGCTTGGCAGTGCTGTGCCACGAGAGCCAGCACATACTGCTCCAGTCATTCCTTCTTGGATCTTGAGCTGTCAAAGCAGCTAGTGAAAACTGGGGAAGCCCAGTAACTGAGGACTCAGAGAAAGTAAACTAAGTGCCATGTAATACTCAAAACACCAAGGAATGTATGTCTGCCCTGTTCCTGTCTGTCTGCAGAATGTATGCACTGAAAACAACGCTTTCATATGTAGTCAAAAAATGTACTGTATCTATTAACCAAAAAATAAAAAGATTCTATATTTATACAGCCCAAGGCTCCTTTGTGTCATCTCTTGGCTTGAAAAGTGTTGTCCTTGAAGCAGAATATAAATAAATAATGCAGCAGTTTGAGGGATTTTTACAAGGCATAGATCTCATTAATTTCTGCAGAAGGTTCAACAGTTAGGACATAAACCTGCCACGCTGTCATTGCCTGGAGGTATCTAGCTGCTACGTTTGTTTTAAAAAGTCAGGGATCTGGGAAATGGCTGGCCCAATTTGTTGGAGAATCTACAGATCTAGCTGCTGCCAAAAACAGCCCATGAAAGACAGACATTGCTGTCTTGTTAAAAAAAAATCAACGGGACTACTGAGACAGAATTGGAGTTAATGCTTTCTGAATGGAATCCAGTTTCTCTAAAACATGGAAGCATGTAAATACATGAAGATAATTTGCAGAGGATGGTGGCATTTGGACTCTGCTGAGCTTCAAAATTTTAAAAGCAGTGCTTCATTTAATTTACCACAATTACGTATTTCCCTATGCACAGGGAAATCTCACTTGAGTGAACTCTGCACTGCTAAAATACAGAATATCCCATGCTCACATTATCCCCAAAACAGTTGACTGCAGCAAGCATGCCATGATGCCATGCCGCTTTCTTTACCGCTGGCTACCTTACCGTGCCTGATCTTCATGAAACACTACTTCCCATCCTCCTTCCATTATGGTGGCACAGCAGACAACGAGTTGCAGAAGAAATAGGACATCTTAGCGGCTTTTTACGGACTGGCAAATACTAGCATCTACTTGTGTCTTAAAATAAATGCCATTATCAGTAAGGAAGCGTTAGCATTCAGAGCCAATCTTCCATTAGCACAGTCTCACCAGTTATTGGTCTGTGTGTTTCACTGTCACATTAAATACCATGAAGCACTCAAGTCTCTTCAAACATTTTAAAGTTTCTCTTTGCTCACTGTTCCAAGCAGTCCTAGAAATAAGTGTTAAATTATACACGTCATTTGAAATACAGCAATCTCCTTTCATCCACATAATGAGCAAGAACATTCTTCTCCGTAAACTATGAAATGTTTCAGTTACTTACATAACACATGAGTCACTCAATGCTAGGCCTCCTTTACGGGGAGACTAATGTGTTAAATGGTAGTAGGAAAGCATACAAAATTTAATCTGACTTCCTTTTAGCACAAATTTGAATTATCACTCACATACAGATTGAGTTACTCTTGTGCAAGGTACCCTGTTTTGGCACACCTCAGAAAATAATTCGGGGTAAAAAAGGGAAAAAACTAGAAATCAGAAATGATCTTTTCTCTTACATCTTGGCCAAGGTACATAACTTCTCTGCCCCTTTTGGCACATACGACATAAGAGATCTTTGTTTCTACTGCAGCAGCATAGAGAGATGCATGATGAGAAAATCTCAAAGTAACAAAACTTGGTAGCATGAAGGGACAGAAATCCTGGGAAACAACAGGGACTACAAAGAGGAAGACCTAGGAGAGGATGAACAGATTTTTCCCATGGTCACATAAGGAAGCTAAGAAGAGAATACAGATTTCCTCAATTTCCAGCCATGTCGTTTTTCTTTCCCTAGCACTGTGAGACTTAGGAAAGTTTGTAATGCACACAGGCTCTGCCAGATGTGGAAAATCCTGTTATTTTTATATGGCCAGTACAAAGCCGGGCCCATAAGCAGTACAGAATAATTTTGTCTCAAACCTACGAAGTAGCCCAAGTCTTTCCTAGGATCCCAGTATACTTTATTGCTAGCTACTGCACGTGTACAATGGCACACTGAGTGCCTGCTGCAGATCGCACTGTCATGAATTTGCTCTGCATAAGGCCCTACAAGGGCAACAAATAGAGCTCATATTTTTGACAGTGCTGAAGCCAGTTACAATTGCAATTTGAGTTGCAATTTTTATTACGACCTGATGAGCACTCATTAAAACTGAGAGGATAAACTGTTCTGTTTAAAGTACTTCCTTGTACAGGCACTCAAGATACAGAATGCAGGAAATCTTAGTTCTGACACTTCTCCTCGTCTTTCCATATGTGTCCAATTCAAAAATTCATAGATTGTTTTACTGAATTTTCTTTAATTTGATGCTATTATTGATTTAACAAGATTTAATTTAGGGGAAGTCAAAGCAAAAAAGCACGTGGTTATTTCAAAATACAAAGCACTGAAGAGAGAAATAAGAAACATGCAGAGGAACTCAGCCAGTTCCACCAGAAAGGCAAGAATAAAATTCAGCAGTGAAGCATGAAGGACCTTGCAGCATAGAGATCAGCACAACTGGAAGCACTGTCTGGCAGAGGAGCGTTGTTGAGGTCTGGTTCTGCTGCCCTAGGGAGAGCGGGGCTAACAGGCACTGGCATTCCCTCTAGGTGCGTGGCAATGACGCTGGGTCAAACCCATCACTTGCGTACTTCCTGTGGCAAACTGTAGCCACTCACAAAGAGTGGCGTTAGTCATTAGCTAATCATACCCACTGTATTCTTTGTGAACCGTCCGTTTCCCTGAATTTCTTTCAAGATCACATTCTTACCATAATCCTCTGGAAAAGCAAGTCTCTGAAAAAAGATCAAATAACTAAAACCTTTATTAAAGGCTTTTTTTAAACTAAGCTTTCTCCTTTGCAGATAAAATGGAAACATCATTTCTTTCAGGTCACCGCAGGGACAGAGCACTGTGCATCCATCAGTAACACCCTATTCCTTGTCAGAGTCAGATGTGCCTCTGTTTTTTCCAGATCTTTGTTACTGCTATGAAAAATTTGTCATTCATAATTTTCCCTTTTCTTTCTTCTTTTCAGAGTAACATTGCTAAAGGAAATTTCAAATCTGACAGCAGACCAGATTAAAGAAATAAATAGCAGAATGCAATAGTTCTTCTTTTCCCACTGAACTAAAACAATTCAGCCCAGCAACTTCTGCCCTTCCAGGCTGCCAAGGATGAGCAACATCAGCATAGCTGTTTAAAGCTGGGACTGCATACTTTGCAACCTTCAGGGCCAAGAGAATAAATGTGGGCATCTCTAGATGCTTTACTTGGAGTAGTAGTTGTTTATTTTTAAGCTGGACCACTGTCATGGTGAATTCCTCAAAAACCCAAAGGTTAACTTGCTTTTCATAGTTATGCATTAAAGAAAAAAAAAAGAATTTTATTCTTTCCTGGGAGAGTTCTGACCTTTTATTCATGTATATTTTTCAAATTCTGCATTCCATTGTTTATGCTCCAAGCTAGAATGTCACAAGCTATCTTAGCACAGAGCAGACCTACACAGACTAGCAAGGGTAAGCCAAGGAGAGCAGGTGGAAGGGGGTGGGGATTTCCAACGTGGTGGATCAAGGTAATGGGTTTCCTTAGTCACGTCTGCTGTGACATCTGGGATGTACAGAACAACTTTCCTTCACTTCCTCAAAGCTTTTGAAACAAACCAACCGCCCTCGTGATACGACGTTAGGATGGAAGCATATGATTTTATAACCCTATGTGAGGTTAGAACCGTGGACTGAAGTCAAAGAATTACCTCATCAAGCTTCAAAATAGGTAGATCAAAATCTGAACATCACAAATGATTTCTTGTCTGTCTGATGGATTGTTTCTGAACGTAAAAAGGTACTGGAGGTTACATCAATAATTCCTGCTATTGTCACCATGACTCACAGGAGGATCAGAGCATTGCACTGACACCTACTGACTCAGCATCCCCTGCTGCTGTACGGTGTTTGTGTCAGTGCTGATGCAATACTGTTTTGCTTCCATGTTAATCTTTGAAGTTGTGAGATCCCATATATCTTCAAGCTTCCTTTGTAGAAAGTGGGACATGCCAAGAGATTGCCTAAATAACCAAAATCTCTTCTCTCTTCCTGATCAAGAGCCTTTGTACCACTGTTTCCTTCCAGAAAGAAATTAGGAATTTTGAAAGCTAGGGTCTGAGGAGAAAATATGGGCTGCTCTCCCAGTGATGCTGAGAACAGTTCAGGAACTGGACATACCACATTGTTTCCCTCTATTTTGTGAATAAAGTATCTGCTTCTTGCTGATGCTAGGTCCACCTTTTCTGACACCAAGAAGCACTGGTTTGGCAGCAGACTCCAGTCTGTGGCTCCAACAGCGAACATGCATTTGAGTCAGGGGAAGAAAGAACATTCCTCACTGATAAAGACAGAAAGGCAGATTACAGATGTACTCAAGAACAATTTTTACCTGTTCAAAGTTCAGCCCTATTCATTTTGCTCATTAAGCAAAAACACTACATCATACTGCCTTAAGTCATGTCACATAGTTCCCTCCTAACACTATCCCAAAATTATTTTCCAAGACTTCAGTTTGCCTTCAGGTACCAAAGATTTTTCTTCTTTAAACAAAACTGATGTCTTTCTTTTTTCTGTTTTATCTCCTCTGAGTTAAGAGTTATGGTTTTTAATAGCCTTAAATATTAAGTAAAGAGTAGTTCATAAGTAAAAAGAGAGGAATGGACCATAATACAACAGAGCCTGGCAGTTCTTTTCATATTCATATTCATATTGCCCTATTCCAAGCTGATGTAATGCAAAAGACCTAAAGAGGGGGGGGCTTCATTGGGTTAGAAGAACGGACTGAGCACTCACAGCTTTTATTCTGAAGTATTCAAGTGCCCCTTTTACTAAGGCCGAGCAAACAAAATGTGGGAAGTACACAACATAGTTTGGAAATCTATGCAGGACACAAGAATCTTGGTACTGTGACAGTTACGAATTTTTCTTGTGTAAAGGATTTATTTAAGGCCTCTTGGCAATTGAGCAGCACTAATATGTGAATTACTGGACAGTTGGACCACTTGATTCTATCAGATACAGTCAAAAACTTGCCCTTCAGAAAATCCACTCCATGTCTGTGTCTATGCAAAGTGCTCAGCAGTCCTACAGAAGAACTGGTACCAAGAAAACCAGAAACATCTCACAACTATTTACTCAGCTGATAATTGTCTTCCCTTTTGGTCCTCCTTTTCCAATACTCAGACCTTTAACTTTTA